ATCATTTGACTATTTGGTATCCCATTTAAACGTGCTTTAATTTATTTTATACGCGAAATACGTGAGTACTTGTGTATTACATATGTATGTGTCTATAACGAGACTACATTGTAGGTGCTACTCGCTTTGGTCAATTTCCGCTTGATTTTATTGTTTGGTGACCAATTGACTTGCTTTTACTTCCGTTTGCCCCGACCATTGCTCATTCCAAATGTCTTTGAGCTATCCGCCGGGGCAATCAGCACATCATCCACATGAGGCTAAACATTGGGGAGGGGGGCAATGAGAAGGGCAGACAGAAGGCCTTCGCGTTTCATTAAAGTGGCATTGGAGCTCATTCACATTCCGACATCCTTATCATCTATCCGTTGTACACATCATCAATGCCATAGCCACAGCAACATTATCGTTTGTTTTGATAGGTTTTCTTTTCGACTTTCTACTTTATATTTTCTTCCTTATTTTCTTTTTTGCAGGTTAGCAGGGGGTGGCCTTTTTTAGGTGGGTTTTGTGCCAGCTCCGGCACATGTGAGTCTTTGGACTATTTTGTTTTCATTTCACTTGTGTAGCTTCTGGGCTATGTTTGCTGTTGTTAGTCAAGTTGCCGGGTTTAATGGGGGCTTAATCTGCACTGGGACAAATCATGCAAACCATTCATCAATTTTCATATCATTCTGTGGGGGAAGTGGTTGATATATCGGAGTTCGGCCTCTGGCTTGATCCTTATACCGACAAACATGAGCGTTGAACATGATTTCTTAGCCAGGTAGCAAAGGCAAAAATTTGCTGGTGCTTGTCAACATGTTAGGCTGCCTAAAAATAGGCAATGCAGATTGAAATTGATGGCACACAAGGCAAGACTTGGCCTGTTGCTTGGGGTAACCTCAACTCAAGCAGCAAGCATCATCATCATCATGTCCCACCCCGGAATTCGTTGAAATGTTTAAGTTCTGATTAGAGCACAAAAGCAGCTTAGAGCGTTTAACAAAAGCTAAGTGGATTTATAGGAAAAATCAGCTTGAAAGCAGCAAGTGGAAAACGAATGGAATGCCTCAAGTTTAATTTGCAAATCGTTTTTGCCTGATGATAGCTTGTCCATGCCTAAGCAAATATTTTATTAACAAGTCAAAGCCTCAAGGCAGAGAAACTAATATTTAAATGTGTCATGCTTAAAGGCAAATCGATTGAATAATAAAACCGTTTATTATCAATTATAGTTAACAAGAATGGCTGAAAAGTAAATATGGACAATTTTTACAATTGATTCTAAATTTAAATCTAAACTAGGTACTGTCTGTAGCGAACTTTGTCAAGTTTTGTGATACTGAAAAATAATCCTTAAAGCTCATCATAGCAGATTGCGTCGCTTTATACAGATGAAAATATGGTATCACAGGGACAAATATTCTCGTATTCGTGCTGGAATTAGGATTGATGGAAGAGCTAAGGCTACTAGATCTAACCTGCCTGCAGCTCCATAATAATAACATAATTTCATGTATTATTCAGTAGTTAAATGATGTCATTATTACTATTATTTTTTATTTAGTCTAAAACTATGTGAAAACCGCGTAAATACCACAATTGCGACGAACATAACCAAAATTTGCACATTCTGATTTGCAAGTCCGACAAAAGTATTTATAAGACGGAAACGCACACGCCAAAACACACACACATACACACACACGCTTGCGTTTTTACACGGAAGTGTCAACACTGGCGACGGCCATCTATCAAGTTGTATATTCAGATGATTTTCCCCAGGGACAGCAGAATAAACGAATTTGTTATAATCATATGTGACGCCTGACTGACTTACACATATATATATAGACATATACAAATATACGTATAATATATATATATATATATGTAGATATATGTGAGCTTTGAATTAGCATATGTAGATGGGATGGTAAATGACATAGTTTTAGATTTCTGTGCTTTCTGTTTTTGTTATTGCCATATTTTGATTTTGCACAACAAGTTGAGATTTGTGCTGGACGAAGTTCATTGTGTTTGTCAAAAACATTGACAGCCAGTATGTGGGAAATTGAGACTCTTGGGTTTCCGCTTTACTGCATTTCGTTGGCTGAATTTGATATTTGCCATTGTCAATTAAGATTGATGAGTTAGCTTGAAGGCTATGCCTGATGAAGGTGTAGTTGGTGCTTATTTGTAAAGATAATTGAATATCTTTAGCCATATTAAAAAATAGAGCAAGCCATAGTCAAACAGCGATTGCCCTGAACAAATCACAGTATTGCAGTATTGCTTACTCATTTAACCGCCATATTGTTACTCAATGTAATGTTAAGCAAAGCAACTCTGTTAATCGATATTAAGCGTTAATCTGTAAGCATGCGAGGCAACTCTGTTGATCGCAAAGATCGATATGGATGAAATGTGGCATTAATTTTAAATTGGCAAGCAAGAAAAATAAAAAGGAATACAAGTGAAACGCTTACTGAAATATAAACTTTAGATTTCTTCCCTTTTATCACTTCATGTAATATAAATTCTTACAAGCAAAAGTCTTGATTTGAAAGTCTTTGTACATAAATGAAATAGTTTTCTGCAAGTCTTATATTAAGCACCAAAATATAAGAGCAAAAAATACGAATTCAAATTATATTTTAAAGTTTATACATTCCCCAACCTTTTTACATCGTTGCGTTGTGAACTGAAAGAATAGAAACTTTGACAAAACAAGCACTTAATTATTAATTTTCTGAATTTTATTTGTAACAAGTTCGCTTTGATTCAGCAAGTTTCTCGAGCAGAACTTTTGCAATATAAGAAGCTAAAAACACGTCCACTGCAATCAAAATTTATTTGAGCTAAATACTTATTATCGAATTTTCAAACACAACTTGTTTCTGCCATTTTCTTCGAGTGTAAAAATTTATGTTAATTATATGTATGTTTTCACAAAAGTTTTGGTCATTTGTGTCGATAAGCAATAGCAGCAACAACCATCAGAAACATAACAATAATAAACCACAAACTGAGCTAAGCAACTGCCAACATACACACAAAGCAATTCTAGCCCTAATGAGCAGCGCGCAGCTAAAAGACGAGGTCAAGTCCGCTCCCCTCGCCTCCTCCCCTCTCCCAACGGCACTTGCCTTTGTGCTGATAAAATTGATAAGTCAAAGTAAACGTTTAGTGTTGGATAGGGGAGAAGGAGGCACTGTGCTACGCACCGAGGCAATTTTAGTACACTGTCATCCTTGTGCTGTATAACAGTTCGCTTCCCCTACTTCGTGGCATGTTAAGAGCATTTTTTGATAAGCGTCGAGTATTTGAATAGTGATTAAATAATGTGACCTTTTTGTATTAGGCTAAGAAACGGCCTTGCCAAACGTTCTATTTTAGTAAAAGAACATTTACATATGTGTAATATGCAAAGTATGCATAGCATAAAGCAAATGCCACTTTGCAATACACGGTTGCATCTAGCGGCTTATCAACATCGATAAGAACGTTAACGAGCTGTTAAAAAATAGATGTAAGCAAAATACATACTTTGAGCATTGATATCAATATTGTTAGCTGAAGTTGAGCAAATTTAACCCGCACTTAACGCAGTTCACCAGATGTCAAACCGTGCCCCTGATGTGGAATCTGTTTGAAACATCGCAGCGGAAACGAACTGCGTCATTTTGTGTCAAATTAATGACGTTGCAATAAAAATGAGTATGAATTACAAAATAAAATGCTGTTTTCTAGATGACAAGTCCTTTTTCCCCCTTTCTATTTGTTTAGCTGTGACAAACGTAAATTGTGCGTGGCAAATCCGAAACGGAAACCAAATAAAAGTCAATTTTTAAAATGCTGTGTTAAATTGCCGTAAATATTTTGATTTGATTTTTTGGAAATCGCATCAAATGAATTATAAATTGATTGCACACAATCTGAATATGCGCGAAACTAGCAAAGAGGAAACAATTTTTGGCATGCACTCGACGAGGCATTCACCATAAAATCAAGTTCCACGACTCAGGTCACTCCAATTGCATTGCATGTACGCATATTGGTTTTAGCCAAATACTGTCAACTACAAACAATATTGCAAATGCGAGGCCCCCATTTTGTTGACACAAGCTGCATTTTGTAACAAAATGGGCGTGTGGTATTTAATAGCTTTTGGTTTGAGTTTGGGTTTGGAGGATTCCCACAGCTTGTCCCCCCAGGCAATTGACCTTTTCTTTATATGTATGTATTTGTGTGTATGCATGTAAGTGTGTATGTATGAATTTGGGCGCCTTGGTTAACTTTTCATAATCGATGAGCATGCGAATCCCCAAAAGCCCCACAGACGGCGCCGCATTATAAAGGGTTTCAAACTTTGACCTGCACCTTTTTTCTATAAATATATAAATATATATATATATATATTTTTTGTGCAGACTTGGCAAATAATAATAAGTGTGGCCAAAGTAGCAAGACACACAAAAAGTTTAAAGTCGAAGGGAGGGAAAAATTTTCTGATGGCTACCGGCATTTTTACAATGGCTCCCCAAAGAATGTGAGTCAGTGGGAGGAGGATGTGAAAATTGTTGCAGGAGAGTGCAAAAGTGTTTAATAAAAAACAGAAGCATTATTGGATTGATAGATTTTGAAGCTTTAAGAGAAAAGTGTGTAATAAATATCTTTTGAATGAAAATGTTCAAAATATGCTGAAGCGTACTAATATGTCAAAATGTTGTATTATATACATCTAGTAACAGTTTAGTTAAAAGCTAAGGCTTAATGAGGTTATAGAAGGGCTACTGTACTTCCAGATAAATTGTGTTTAATATTTATCAGTATTTAAATAAAATCTTATGAATATTCAGAAGTTCTTCGCAATTAATAAATTTCAAATTTTGCGCGCGCGAGTGTTTCGTAACTTTCAGCTTTTTGCCAGGCAGCGGCGCACTGCTGACGGTGCCTACATATCGATAGTCGAATTGTTGGCATCAACATCGTGTTCGATATATCGATGTGCTGTATTTATTATCGATATTGTTAAAGTAGCTGAGCAGCTGTGAAATTGAAGGCAGCCAAACATTAAAAGCAAATTAAACGCAAATACAAATAAATAAAAAGAAAATGGCACAGGACATGCTGCTTGGCACAGAGGAGCCCAGCAGCAATAAGGAGACATTTCTGCAGCAGTTCTGTCTGCTTGCCAAGAACGCGACTGGTGCAGCACTCCTAGATGTCATCAAACAAGTTTTGGACGCACCAAATGTCTTTGTTTTCGGTGAACTCCTCGCGGAGCCCAATGTCACAGAGGTAATTTAATATTAATAACTATATGCGCATACTAAGCGTTGCTCTTGCAGCTGAAGGACGGACCCGATGCCAAGTACTACAACACTCTGAATCTGTTCGCCTACGGCACCTACAAGCAGTTCCGTGACCAGCAGCAGGATTACATCGAGCTAACGCCAGCCATGCAAAAGAAACTACAGCATTTGACCATCGTCTCGTTAGCCATTAAGACCAAGAGCATTCCCTATGCTGTGCTGCTGAACGAACTGGAAATCGATAATGTGCGACATCTGGAGGACATCATCATTGAGGCTATCTATGCGGGTGAGTTATTCCATTGCATAAAGTGAGCAATTAGAAATATGTTTGAAATTGCAGAATGCGATTTTTATTATATATGATTTTTATATTACTATATATACATATGCAAGTTCTGTAAATGAATCAATATTTACAGCTTAATATAAGTAAAATTCAATTAACAAATACTCTTAATCTTTTGTATCTGTATGCTTTGCATTTAAGTCAATCTATAGATCTGTCTATCCGTTTATGTAGAAGCTAAATATAATAGTTAATATATCTTAGAGATGCGTAGTTGTTATTAAAATATATATTTAGATAAATAAATATATTTATATTTTGGTTGGTTAAATTGGTATATGAATAGTTCACATTAAAATCTAACCTAATTTGCAAATACTTCAATTTGTAGGATTTCATCATAATTCATATCAACTTAGTTCAGTTTATCTACCAGTATCTAAGACGATAAGAATATTAAATAAATTTACTGTAATTTCTGCAGTTGCGGATAATATTTGCTTTAAATTTAACCAGAATATCCCTTAATATTTTTGTTGGCTTTCATTTCATTTGCATATTCTGTAGAACTGTTGGATAATCTCGATTTGTAGCATTACCCGAAGCAACTGCAGCTGCGCTATTTGCTGGTTTACTCTGCATACTTTTATAGCCATATTGTTGGCATTCGTTCTTCCCCCTCTCTCTCTATCTCTCTCATAGCGGAAGCTACTCTTGCCGTTTTTAATTAATTGTTGCCTGAGTCCGTGCTGCATTCTGACTACGAGTAGCAAACGATTTTACTTTATATTTTTATCCTTTCCCCTCTCAATTGCCCCACCCTTGTTGCAACGTGTGCTGCACAAAAGCAAGAGTCGAAAGTTAAACGCAATTCGAAACTATTTTTAGGATATGCAGCGTTGATTAGAAAAATCGCTGGGAATGTAGCGCGTTTTCTGTTGGTTATTCGGCTTTGCTGGCCAGCATTTTTTAAAAGTTCCAGTTGCCATTTTTCCCATTCGTGCTATAAATTTTGTGTTCTCGCTGCTTTGCATAAAATATATCTCTTTTAGATGCCAAAACACATTCCACATTAAGGCGCAAACCAAATAACTAAATACATAGCTATTATGATTAAACGGCTGCTTAAGCAGAATTTTGAAAAAATCCAAAAGCATAATAAGCACATTATCGCCTTAAACTATGGCATTTAACGAGATAAGTATGGGCAGCAAATATGTCGGATTTGCTCGAATTGAAGACACTATCAAACACAGATTCAGCAGATACACTGTTATTGTTATTTTTATTTGTCAACAACTTGAAATCGAGTGCAATACAAGTTCATAAAATTGCAATTCTTCAAAAATATGAGTATAAATGAAGAGACATTTGTCACAAGGGTTTTATTATTTCTTATGTTTATTTTTATTTATTACTTGTGATCGGGCAACACAAATTAACAGTCGAGTTTCTTAGCAATTTGCATTTTATGCTTATTATTATATTTGCATATGTTATAAGTGATATAGAGTCGGATATGCCTTGCTCTCCACGCACACACCTTTGTTTAACTACAGGGTATCATAAAAACCAAATATAGCTCAAATGAAATCTTCGCATCCATTATCGAAGTAATCAACTAAGCAAATAGAGTGACAACTGTATGCTCCAGGCGCAGTAGTCCGCAGGTCTTATGGCTGAGTGTCCTCATAAATGTGAGGTGCGAGGCACAACCTGTTTAATTGCTTTCCAAATCCAAAGTGAAATCCCCACTACAGCCACGGGGCTACGTCCAAGACTTATGTTATGATTGGAATCATTGAGCTAACACAGAGTGGCAACAATCTGGATGGATGCCTAAAGAGCATTGCATACCATTAGTTGCCGCAATCTTAAATCGCGTGAGCGGAAAGTGGAGTGTGGGCGAGCCATAAGCTGGCATTAGACTCTTGCTATGGGTGGCGCCACACTGGGGTGCCGTTAATGTTTGCTCTTTGGTATGCCTCACGTTTCACGGCGACCCATTATAGCATCATTTGTCTTGACAGTGCGGTGGCAGGGTCAGGAGCAGAAATTGTTGGTGTCTGGTGGCGTTGGCTGTTGTGCCCCAAGTTACAAACGCTAATTAAAAGTATTTTGTAATTGAAATTTGGTAATTTTGTGTACCTTTACTTGGACTAAGTCGAGTTGGATTGATTTCAGCTCTTCAATTGCTCATTGTTAAGTATTTATTTATTGAAAATGCTTAGCAATCAAAACTGCCTATTAAAAATATGAACTAAAATGCTGCCAAAACAGTTTGACACTTGGATTTGATTAAGATTAGGTTAAAGAGAGTTTATCAAGAATAAAGAAAGATATGTTATTTTTAATAAATTATGAAAAATGTCAAGATTTCTTCATTCTTTATGTTTGCCAACACTTGGAAAGTCTGAGAGTTAGGTAAATAACGAAAGAAACTTTGACATATTTCATTATCTTTGCACTTGATTTAAGTGGTCAATTCTAAGTGTCGAGCAACTATTATTAAGTCTCTGTCTGGTTTAGTTGTGCATCTTGTTCATTGTTCTTGGTTAACCGCAAAGCACATTTGGCATTAGGTTACCAAAATGTTGATAGACATTAGCTTTAACATTTTGTGGATCGCTTGTTGTTCGTTGGTATTTTGTATCCAGCGTTCTGAACCCTCATCAACACAGTTCAAGGATATGTCCGTTGTCAGTAGCATCAACTGCTCAACTTTTAGCCGGTTGGCTGTTTTTATGCCTCTGCATTGTTTTCGTTTCTCGATATTGCTTTTGTCAACTAGGCCAACACAAAAGTTGCATTGGCCAAAAATAGTAAAAGCCATTGAACAAAGGACTAGGAGTAGCTTCGAAATAACAACCTTAATAAACACTCAGCTTGTGCATTGCCGAAACGTTTAGAAGTTAGTTCCTTCAACCCCATAAAGTCTATATATGATCAGGATCAAAAGCCGAATATATATAGTCTTTCCATCTGTATGGACTTGATAGCCAGAGATTTTAAATTGTATAATAAATGTTCTCAGTTTCATTAAAATCGATTAAGAAACAATGTTGTAGTACAAAAAGTATTCGTCTATATTTTATTTGAATTAAATTTGTAATTTAATATAACAGCTGTGTTCAGCGTATCTCCTAGTTAAGCTCTTTCGACTGACTGCACTTTCTTTTCTTTGTTGTTGAAATATGTCGAAGGCGTTGGTATGTCGATTTTGTGTGTATATTTTGTGAGCCTTTGTATGAGCAAAAACCCATCCACACAGGACTAGAATGCCATACAACCATCATCGCATGAGTGTGATTTTTTTTATTACCAAACTTGCCAACTAACTAACTTCATATTTGGCGTTTTAACTTTACTTTAACTAATCAATGTGGGATTGTCTATGCCCACTATGCCGTAGAACCAAAGCTTGCCACACACATATCAAATCTCCGGCAAACTAAGTAAAACTCGTCTCTTGTGTTCGTTTTTGAATTTGCAATTTTGCTTTTGATTGCGCTTTTTTGTGGCCGGTTGCAGTTGTTTTCGCATCGTGTAGCATGCTTTTACTGACAACAGGATGCGTGTGATACCCCGCCCATGGGACACGCCCAAATCAGTTGGTTATGCAACTGTTTCTGATTGCTGTGCGCTCTTGCAACGCATACTCTAAGGTGTCTGCCGCACATTGTTGTAAGCGAGTGAAGCGAAAGTTTCCACAATTTGGCCCAGTACTTTGTCAGTTTTAGGTGAAAAGTTTTCAATAGTTGTTTGCCTGCTGCCCCGACTTAATATTGATGGCCCAACTTGCTGAATGGCTGCTTTGCCACCCTGTCTCTGTCACCATACCCGTCTGTCTGTCAGTACACTCTTGTCGCTGCTCTGAGTTTTCAATTAATAAGTTTTCATTTAATATTCTGTAAAAAAAAAATGAAAATTGGGGTCAGCTTTAGCTGAGCTGTCAGCGACAGGTGCATGTAAACTTTCCATAATGCGTAGCTTTTATTTCCTTAAGTTGCGACGCTCCATAAAGCACGGAGAATTGGGCTTACTAATGTGGCAGGACATACAAATAATTGAATAATATATTCCGACCAGACTTTGGATAACTTACCTGACTATTGAGAAAGCTTTTTCTAAAACCAACCAGTTTTTTTAAATGTGTACACAGAACATCAAATGTTGTTTAGTTATGGTTAAACATTAGTATTTTAAGATTTCACAAATACAAAAATTGCATTCTTCAGATTCTTATTTTTAGAATATTAGTTTTGTGAAATTGCTGCTAAAATCTAGCAAAGTTTTCAAAGTGATTATCAGGTCAAATTTTTGCTGAGTGCATCTGGTGTTTTTTTAAATTTATAATTCTATTTTAATTTCCGTTTTATTTTGAATGCTGCTGATGTCCTTTTTGCGTTAATAAACCTGCTACCGTTGCAAAAATGTGTCCTTTGATATTAAAGCTATATAAGTAGTGTACTGTAAATGATTTTTTGATCCTTATAAATAAACAATATTTAGATATTCTTATATTCTCCGCTTGTGCTTTAATGGCATTTTTTATTTTTGCTTTTTCATTTTTATATATTGCATCAATTCCGTTGTCCGTCGCTGGTGGGCTTTAAGGCGTGCTTTAAAAATTGTAATATATGAAATGTACATTACGTGAAAATATAGCCACAGCCACAGCCACAACCCAAAAGCAGAAACAGAAGCAACATCAACAGATTTTCTCCCTCAGAAAGTAGACAACAGACAGCAGTCGCAATTTTTGGTGGTCCCTCGAGGGAGCGGCTTGCACGCGAACAGCATGATTGATTGTTTTGGTGTTGAATTTCCAGCTTTACAGCGAACACACATACTCACACACACACACACACACACGACCCACAAAACCAAGACACATGTCAACGGCAAATATGCCACAAAATTTTACAACACTTGTGGCTGCCACGCCCACTTATAGCCAGTCCTATTCGTAGGGAGGAGGCGTGCTGCTTGTCGTGTGTTTTTCAGACCTTGTCTTTTCAATTGTCACAGACTTCTAGGCCTGTAAATCCAATCAAAATTCCTAGTGCTCAAGCTAATTAAACTAAATGCCTGAGGCATACACAGAAGCATACACTGAGAGATGAGGGGGAGTCTGACTTAGGGGGTCGAGAGAAGTGAAGTGAAGTGTACTCTGGCTACAATCCTGCCCAGCATGTGTGTATGCCGTAGTTATGACAAAAGTTGGTCATATTCAAGGCCAATTGGCCGTTTATTCAATGCCAAAATGCGCTCAAGGTCTTAACTTGTGCTTTGACTTGGCCAAAAAAAAATAAAAACGACAAGAGCAACCCAAGGAAAAACTAATTAGAATGCGCCCATGACAGTTAATGGATTCACTTGGCCGTGTCGAAAAGTTTCCGACACTCTGGCTATCATTTGAGCCAGTTGTTGTTGTTGTTGTCCTTATGTGCTGCTGGCTTCTGCAACACTTTAGTGATTTTACTCTTTGGCAAATTGTTCAATTGAGAATTGCTACTAATCCATCGTTATCCGGTTCAGGCGCACTTCAAACCCTAAAGTCTGCTATAACAACTTTCAACTAATTAGTAACAATTCCATTCTGTTTGGCTTGTTTTCGGTTTGGTGTTGCCAACTGCAGCAGCACCAGCAGCGCTTCAATTTTAAATAGGGGATTTTGGTAATTGTGTAGATCTGCCCGGCCAGCACAGTTGGCTAATCTCATAAGCTCTCGCTCCTCCGTAAAATATCTAAAACGAAAGTTAAATATTCGATTGTGTTTTTACTAGTTCCGACATTAAGCTTATTATCGATTCTATTTTTTATTTTGTTCCGTTTCACATCATTTGAATTGTTATTCGATTGATTGGATAATAAATGAAGAGTTGAGTTGATTTATTGATTGGTTTCAAAATACAAAAAATAACATTTGCCTTCATTTATGAAAGCTTTTCTTGGATTTAATTATGCATATAAGCATTCCAAGCTGTAAGTGAAATATTATAATTTAAACTTATATAAATCTACTTACGAACAACTTGTTTCTTTCAAGTTTTCTCAAATAACTTTGTCGATTAGACGTTTTAAGAGAACAGAGAGAAGATATAAGTACGTGATAACCCAAGCAATTCTCGGTCACGTCTCAAAACTTTTTCATACAGTTTAAGGGAAGCTGACTTCTCACTAAAAAGACAATAAGAGACACATGGATGCACTTCGAACTGTGCTCACAGATATCAGTGGCCAGTTAGTTAAGTCCCCAATGAGTCACAAAGGCTCACTCATTTCTCATTACAGTTCTCAGACTTAGACTGAATCTGAATTGCTGCAGGCAACGCTGGAGTGCACTTATTTTCCATTTGTTGTTCAAAATGTGTGGACTGCCTTTTGAGCAACTGTTGTACGAGAAACTCTCTGTCTGCTCAGCATCAACTTAATTAATCAAGCTTGTGCAACATCTGGGGGAGTGTATAAATAATTTGCATGTGTCGCAAAAAGCTGCACATTCGGCTACAATACTTTGTCATGGAACTTTTAGGGCTAATAAATATAAATGAACTATTCTTTATCATCTTTGCAGATATTATTCATGGTAAACTATTTCAGAACACACGCATTCTGGAAGTGGATTATGCGCAAGGACGTGATATACCGCCCGGCTATACGGGCAAGATAGTGGAAACCCTGCAGGCCTGGGTGAACTCCTGTGATGGGGTATCCAACTGCATCGATATGCAGATTAAGTATGCGAATAGCGAGAAGGCCAAACGGCTGTATAACAAGGAGCGCATCGAGCAGGAGGTGAGTCTGGCGACAAACCGAGTAAATAGTGGGCTAAACGATTTTCACTCCCTCCACTTGACTAGCTTATAAATTTGAAGAAAGTGCTCAAGAGCCAGGCCTCCGACAGCGATGAGAGCATGCAGGTGGACACACACGGACCGGGCACCAGTAACAGCGGTGGCATCAATCAACCGGAGGTGCGCAAGAAGCCCACCAAGATGAAGAACCCACGAAGCGGTGCGAGTGAGATTTGCAATTCCAGCAAATTGAATAATGTCTTTACTGAACTCTATCTTTCTCTTTATCCCTCTCTCTTTCGTAAAGTTGGCCTCAAGTTCAGCAAGTGAGTGCAGGAGCGCCATGTGCCAAGCAGCCGGAGGGGCAGTCGAGAAAGCTAAAACAGAACTTGGCACATTCGGTGGGACGTACAGGGCAAACAGAAATGCAACTCATTTAAAGACTTCAATACAGCAATTTACATCTGCATTCGCTGGAGCTCATCATTAGTCATTAAAATTATCAAATAAATAAACACAAGGTTCAGCAATTGAAATAACCGAAGAATAACAATGAAGTTTATTATGTTAAATGCTTTTCTCTAATTGCATTATTTGTTTTAGGGCAGGTGCTTCTTTCATAACATTTAATTACATCTCGTATAATAACTGGGAGCCTTTACACACACACACACACACACTCACTCGCACGCATATACACAAACACAGCGTGCATGTGTGTATCTAGATGTGTGTGTAAACTGGGTGTGTGTTTGCTTGGACCGCAATAAATGGCACACATTTGTGATTTGTGGCAAATTAGTAGAAGAGCCAACGTGAAATCGAATCTGTGCCAGAACAATTCAGACAATCCATTCAGGCCTTCGCTTTTGCCTTTTGCCACACGCAAATGGGGCATAAGCGCTTTTAGTTGGTCGTGGAACTCATAACAGCTGCAATTTATGGACACATCGCTCCTGGAAACCGTACCGAAAAACCTTTGTCAATTTATTGGTTAACTGCAAAGGAAATAATTTAAGACGCAGATGCCGTTGGATAACATTTTCGCTATTATAAATTTGACTGTCATGCCTCTATAGAAAACAGTGTGGAAGCCGAAGTAACCTTGGCTTCATATGCTTTAATACCAGGCTTATTCACATAAATTTTCCATTGTTTGCAGTAGATAAAAGTGTAAACAGAATGGGGAAAATGCATACATGCACCTCTTTATTGTTTGCCAGCATGTTTTGCTTTTTGGCTATATCCATGTAAAACATGGACATGTAATGAGCTGGTAAGTCAATACTGAAGTGAGAGTATGTGGCTTAAAATTGCATGCGTGTTTTGCGATATGCTCAACATTTTCAGCACGGCCCCAACTCTTAGGCAACGCACTCAAAATCACATATAACTCAGAGTGTAAATATAATAGATGAGATGACTAAAGCGATGCAGCAATTATCTAAATGAAATTTATTCCCAGTTGACCCTATAAATAATGCAAGCAAGCTTCATGTACAGTCTTTTGCATAAATAAATTGAAAATATTGACCAAAGCACTTAGTAAATGTCTGGTGCTGCTGCATGAATAGTAGTAAATATAAAAATAAAAAGAAAAATGGCCTTTGCTCTGTCGGCTGCGAAATAAGGTAATTTTCTATTGTTTTGATTAACAAGAGTGCACAAATTAGTTTGCTGCAGTGGATAAATACAATCGTATTGCATCAATGGCTGACATGATTAAGTCATTAAGTAATTAAAAATTAAAACGATAAATGAATTAAAAAAGTAATAACGATAATGTAAAAATAACCAATCTTTAATTATGCATAGCCACATCAAATCATTCCATTTCTGCTGCTCTTTGTAAACAATATAATAATAACTTGCTGACGTAACTAGGTCAAGTTTAGATATTTATTAAAATTCATGAGTCTATGTGAAATTGACATAATTTGAATTTTCACAAGCTGATGATATTTGCAAATGATACATACAGAAATAGTCATTTTATGTTTATATCTAGAATGAGTTTAATATTGGTATACAGAAAAAACTGACTGAGGCAACAAATATGCTTATGTATTTTCGGCATTCATGTTAATTTTTGGTGTATTTTATGCATAAGGCAATAATAAATTTATGTAATGCTATTTTATGATAAGCTCTAAGCTGTCCGGTTCTACTAAAGAACAAGAAAAATTTTATATATACATATACAGTTAAATTTAAATTTATATTTGTCGTCTGGCTTACACAAAGTAGATTTGCAATACAAGTTTTTTTGTAAACAAAATTACTAAAAAAAAATCAACCTGTCGCGCATATAAGCCAAAAAGATTCCAAAATCGATCATCAGTCTGTTTGCAATTCTCTAATCAAGATGTTCCAAATCGTGGGTAACTTTCAGTTTTTTTGTGCGACTATTTAGAACAATTGACATCCATTTTAGCTGCTCGTTTGCGCCTTAGCCGTTGGAGTACTGGCCGTTCCTTCTGAAGATAAAGTTCCAGAGTTTAATAACAGCAACTCCACTTCGCAACTTAACAACAACAGCCAGAAAGAAGCTCAAAAAAATACTAATGAGAATAAATCCCAACCAATAGAGGATAGTTCACGTTCACCAGAATCTTCAGTTCCTGAAGAATATTTTCGCGCTCTTGAAGATATTTGGAAACACAGAAATGATTCTCAATAAAGGTTTAAGTTGTATGCTTTGATTTTAACCCTTAAAAGGTTTTAAAGAAATTTGCAAATTATAAATTTGACATTGCTTAAATATATTCAATATTAAGAAAAACATTCAAATAATTGTTGACATCATTCAATTCAAAGATTCAGTTATTTTTAGAAAGTGGCGCGAAAATGTAAATTTGGATCACCGGTGCGCCATGTAAAGGCAAAATTTTAATTTTCTGACTTGATTGCATATCAGCAACTAATTTTTCTTTAAATTATTTGTTTTGGTAAACTATTTAAACAGTGCGATGTTAAATGTTTAATATTTAGCTTTATTATTGCCAAGTTATCAGTGATATTTTTAATACTTTAAAGACAGTTGAGTAACTTTTGTTCGTATAAATTTGACCTAAATCTATTTAATGGTAATTACTTAATGTGAAGCAACTGTGTATTTTTTTTCTATACATTTTCAATACATATTGTATGTAGAAACAATTAGCAGTGCTCTCCGCTGAAGAGCATCGAGTAATTGATTGTAATAAATTATAGTCAGAGCTGGGTATTATTTTATTGCATTCCTGTACGCTGTTTTAGTCTGATTTGAATTCCGTTCTCTGATTTGAGTGTTATGCGAATGTTCAACACCGGATCGTATTCGCTCTGCGGCACACAATCCTCGCGCGAGTGGTCATTAATGCCTGGGGGCAGATTATCCACGGCTGGCAGGATTTCAAAGTGTCGCACCAGCAGAGAGAGCAGCGCCTGCATCTGATACATGGCAAACTTTTCGGCTGCAAAGCAATTTGGTTACGTGATTAGCTGGAGTGCTGTGTGGCTCTTGGCCAAAACATATTGTAGTTACCAATGCAACGCCTGGGCCCGGCACTAAACGGCACACTCTTGAAGGCTTCAATGTCACTGTTCGAGTTGGTCTTCTCGAAGCGTTCCGGTCGAAAAACACAGGGTTCGTCAAAATAGCGTTCGTTGTATCCCATGGCAATCAGACACATGATGACCGTTGTGCGCTTGGCAACCTTTGTGCCATCTAAGACGATGAATTATTTGTAGTCAGTCAACCAAAGTGAATTTCTGAATTACTCACTTATGTCGATGGATTTGCGATTGGTACGCGCGATCAACGGCACCGATGGATAGAGACGAAGTGTTTCACGTATAACCAGCTCCAGATAGTGCATTTGCTGCAGCCGGGCTATATCTGATTCGCCAGTTAGATCCTTGCCAAATATGCGCTGTTGCTCATCGAAGACCTTCTGCTGTATTTCGGGGTGGCGAGAGAGCGTGTAGATCGTAAAGGATATTGCTGAGGCAACGGGGTCGTGACCCTATTGAGAAAAGAGATCAATACCGACTGTTATATCAAAAATATATGCTCAACTTACTGTAAATATAAATGTGGACAGCTCTTCGATAATCTCGCGCTCCTTTAACGCACATCCGTCGAGCTTGGCGGCCATCAACACATCTATGAAGGGTTTATTGCTCAGCTCCACAGCATTCTTATTCTCTTTCGCCTTGGCCAAGTGTTCCTGCCGCTGAGTTATTATCTGGCAAAGGAATTTAACTTTGAGTTTAAAGTCTCATCAACTTTTATTGATACACTTACCCGCCGTATTTCAGTTCGGAGCAACTTGAGCGCTCGTCGCTGCTTCATGTAGTATGGGGTCAATCGGAAGAGTGCATCGAAGCGCTTCACAATGCTGAAAGTGCGCTCCTGGACGACATCGCAAAGGCTGTTTGAGCGTGTAATGAAATTAAGAATATTTTCTTATGGGTCGGTTCCACACTCAACTTGAACTTACTCTTTGATGGCGCTATGAAAATCTGAAGGATCGTCATTCAGTGAATTGGATACATTGCCCGTTGCGTTTTCTATTTAGGTTATAAATATAAATCAATATTAAATGAAAATAATACTCTGAAAGGAGCTAAACTCCTTTTTGCAAGAGGGTATCATTTAAGGCTTTCGAAAATATTTCTTCACTATGTATTTCTCCACATTTTTCGTTGTTGTTCATTTTTCAAAGTTCACAGTTGATATGCCTTATTTAAAAATTATACAAAATATACAAGAAGGAACTCGCTACATTTCATGTGCTGTAATACTTTTCCACCGCACAATCTGTGCCACTTGTGGCAATTTTCTTTGCTATAAATCATGTTTATAAAATGGCCGTAATAAATTATATAAATAAACGGGTGCAACTGGCTGCCTTCACCGCACCGTAAGAAATTACCAAAATATATAAAATGTCCATGATATAGCGTAAAGTTTCTGCCAACTGACAACCACCTACCACAAACAATATCCAAAGTACATTTGCCAACCAATTCCTGGGCGTCAAAAGGTCTTGAGGCTTTTGCCTGTTGTCTCAGCTTCTGCATAAATTTATTGCCGGTTCGATGCACCACCCGTAGGTATCCTTCAATGGCAGACCGCTCAAAGGCGGGTACATAGATCTTCTGGTGCTTTAGCCAACGGGCACCGGAACTGGTGAGCAGGCCATCACCCAGCCAGGGTTGTAGAAATGAATACAAGTGCTCCTTGTACAGCAGTGATGAACTCGACAACATGTTCTGTGAAAGAGCATAATATTGGTATTGCGTAGAAGACCACAAATCTCGACTTACCTGAATTTCGGCCGGATCGCTGAGCATTATGTGATACTGCAGGAACACCAAAGAACGGAAGCCTCGAAAATCATATTTCCGGCAATATTGTAATACTTTTTTCGGATACTCTGCATGGGGGAAAAGTGCAAGAATAATGAAAGGGTTAGAACTGATTACTCCATTTTAACAGATGAGTGCGTGTGCAGAGGGAAGCAGCTGGTTCACTTGAGCAAGTATCAAGATAAGTATTATCTATGACTTTTATTATATAGCACTTACTTCATTCCACTTGCAAGCCAAAAGTTTGTATAATAAAGTTTGTATTCTGGACTAATAAATAGTTTCAAACTCCGAAGCACAAAAGCATTTTAGCATATCAATTTGCAATTTGCATTTAGTATTGCATTGAATTGCTTAATTGCCGAGCACTGACTGCAGAATGCTAAAGGGTAATCCTTGCTCGAGGGGGTTTGGCTACTTGCACATGTTACTTTAATCCACAATGAGTACAAGTTAAGCCAAGCGAAATAATAAAGCAAAAATGAGCGAGCAAAATCTGTATTCAAAACAATAGCTATTAAGTCGCAATAAGAGAAAAATCAAACAAGGATGATAGAAATGACAACAGGATATGCAACAAGGATGCCTACAATATGCAACATTCGAACAGTCAAACAAATAAAGACTCCTTCCCCCTCATGACAAAGCTATCAATTGTTGTGCATCGGTTTGAACTCCGGCTATTGTGCATTTGGAAATGATTACTTGTGGGCAAGTACGTGCAGGGAAACAACACAAAAAATATTCAACAAATTGTACGGGCGCCTGATTTGCATTGGGAGCAATCCATGGCTCGAGGGTCCAATGTGCACGCAGACAAAATCTGATGAAAATTACAAGAAATGTTGCAAGAAAAGAAAATGAATGCAGCTGTAATCTATCTTGATATATTGATATTTTATATCTTAGATATAAAAACGCAATTTATATTTATCTGGTACGTGGAATTGCAAAACAAAAATGTACAAAAATAATATTTTACGTCTAGTTTGTATTCGTATTTCTATTCACACTGACAAATAGTACATAAATATAGGTTGCGAGTGATTTATTGTGCTTACCGGCTGGCTTAAGTCCAAACTGAAATAGGTTACCCACAAAGGGATAGGGCGTTGGACCCGGTATCATTTCCATAATACCAGCCATGTGATCTAGGTAATTGAATATCCTGACACCCTTGAACACCAAAATGGTGGCCAAGATTATTGCCGCCGCTAACAGAAACATCTTTCGATATATTACGCTTCAGAATTGATAATTTTCTTTGCGACTTTCAAAATTTAAGACTCTTGATCCACGGTCTACACAATTAGCGAATGCTTTACGAACTGATCGCCTAATGTCCAAAAGTCTTCGCCAAAATGTTATGTGATCAATAGAGCGATAGCATAATCGATAGCTTATCTGGTTATGGCTACTCTATGCACAACTACTCGATGCACAAAGTGTTCAGCTGTAATTATAACTTGTAATTATCGCTAGATAATGACAACATAAATTGCCGGTGTGTATAATCCCATAGAAGTGGCTGCTCTTAATTAATAGTTTAATGGTTTAATGGTTTTAATTAATGGTTTAATTGACTCACTGGACACACATAATTATGACGTGTTAGTCTAAAGGGCAATGCGAAGCAACACCCACGTAATTAGTCTGATAAGACTAACCAGTTTATTGTGGTTGCGATTGTTGACCAACGATTGCGTTTTTGCAATTACGTATTGATTCACAGTGGCAAAAATAGATTGAATTGATATTATTGCTGACAATCTTATAAAAAGCAATAAGAATAATAACAAGTCGGGTGATCTATCTTGGCCACATCGAGGACAACATAAGTTTAAATATAATAATGTAATATTATAATTATGATTTTTTTTCGGTCTGTCTGCTCCCTCTACAATAATATATTAAAGAACTATTCAATTGTTTTTCTTTTATAAAACACATTCAATACATTGTATATCAAGCTTAGATTAACTCCCTAACATTGCAATATGTAAATGTCCGGCTATATGCATTTATTATCTTTGAATGGAATCACCCCATTTTTACTTACATACTCGTATATCACTAAGCAGACAACACACAGAGGCGTCAAATCGACAAAAAGCTGATTACATTTGCGGTCTGTGGTCACAAAATTACCAAAGCTTACAGATCAGGCCCAAAAACTAACAGATTGAAAATTGAGTGCCAGCTCGCCAATGAAAAGAAAAAAATAGAATATTGCTGCTACTTTCGCAGGCGTAGAATAATTCTGTACTTGCTCGGACGCATACTCATAGAGATGGGTTGGGTCTCTATTCTATATGTTGCAAAGAAGACAAGTGAAGCATTGACTTTTGTTCGCTGCTCGACTGGCTAGCCTGCATTTTAATCTTGCGACGTGCTGGCTTCGTGCCGCTGCTTTCAAACCCCGAAGCAGCCATGGGTTGCCCGGTCACAGGTTTTTTTTTAGTTATCAATTTGCTTTGTCGATTTGACGCCTCTATGTATTGTCTGATTGGTGCTTATATTCAACACATTTAGGAACACCCATACTTGTATAACTAAGTTTAACTCAGCAAAGATCGGACCCCTAACTAAATGCCGCACAATTTTGTATACTTTTAGGCTGTCTCAGAAAAAACGTCTCGACATAAAAACTCGTCGAATGCCAACTAAGAGTAGACTCAACACGCATGACTCTTAAATGCGGTGAACTTTTGTTTCTGGTTTCTTTGTCTCATTTCAAACCCCCAAAGACAATAAAAAAAAGACATATCTTACGGACTCCGACTATAACATACCCTTTTTGACCGGAGTTTATCTGCTGACCTTTAAATTGTAAACTGAAATTAGAAATATGATTAATACGTTTTAAGCAAATCTAATTTATATGTTTTCAGAGATAATCAGTCGAGTATATATCCGATTTGGTAAATCCCGAGTTACATTGAAATATGAAAATATGAGTTATGTTCATAGAAAAAAATCTTAGATGCGGATAAGACTATATTGTCTACATACGCTGATCAAGAATATATATACTTAATAGGGGCTGCAGAGGTCTAAGACAACATGTTCCACATGTCACCACAAAATTGTAATACCCTTAAAGGGGTAAAAAATGTAAACAAGAAACCTGCTTTTTAATCGAAAACAAACTCTTTTTTGGGAGTATTTCTTTTTTTTTTCTACCGTATATAGTTGCCTTGGGATGCCTCGGACACATGTGCTAATACAATTAAACAACATATATTTGGAATATTGATTTTGAAGCATTAGCTGAATTAAGAATAATCGAACATTATTAATAAAAAGGTCCGTAGTCCAGATGGTCAAGTACATGCTATATTTGCCGGAAACCGTTTGGACCTTGCTTTATGAAAGGCATGTTTCTTAAATTGCCATCAAATAATTAATTAGCTTTCTCATAGTCCAATTTTCTTTTTGCGCACCAGCCGAATGATTGTGTATGTAAAGTTACGGTGTAGGAGATGAAGCTTGACCAGACTCTTCAAACTGAAGAGTGCGATAATTTTGCATTAAGAAGAGAGAGAGTGTTCCCAAAGCGTTGTTAAGAGAGTGTAGACTGCAACTGTATCTAAATATTTGGTATGTCAGTGCTAATTAACATAGTCTTGCACAGATGAACTCAATTCTGCGTACCGAAATTCTCTAAATTTAATTAAATTTTTTTTTTTTAAATATTAGAAATTGTTTTTAATTTTAAATAAAATACTTTGTATAATACATTCAGATATATTTACGGCAATCAAGACATTTTTGACTTCGAGCTAGCAATCTATGTGTCTCCCTCTACTTCGCTATCTGATTGTTATTTTGGTTGACTCATTGTGACTCGCTTAAACTAGAAGTTACTTCAATCTGAGCGATTCGTATTTAAGTTGAGCGTCTTCTCATTTCCATGGCAGTTTAATTTTTTAGGTAGTCGTGATCGCACCGAACCGGACCACATCGAGTATTCATTGTGTTAAAATTTCGTTTTGTGCGTGTTCGAACAATGTGGTTTATTTTGTATGCGATTCTGGCACTGCCGCTGCTAGTGTGGATGTACTTTGAAGTGAAGTTTGCCCACAAGAAGCGCATGCTTAACAAATTAAGGGGTCCGTCGACACTGCCACTTCTCGGCAATGCCCATCAAATTGGAAAAAATCCGACGGGTAACTTTACCTTAGTTTATTACTGAAATGGAAAGTTGCAAAGTTTGAATGGCTTATTGCCTTTTCTCGAATTGCATTGTGACTGATGAAAATTTAGAAATTCATCAGTTAAAATGCCATTCGAGTTAAGGCACTTATGCATTAACAACCAAAAATCATTTGTATTATTTTTTATCTTATTTATTTTTACAAACTGCTGATATGGGCCAGACGCTTAATAATCTTTGGTAGTAATATGTATATTTGTTCAACAAATCGGTGTTAAGTTTAGTGATAAGTAAGCGAGCGCAAAGTATGCGTCAAATATGGTCATATTAATTATTATTATTTTTATATAATTTGTTTCACAAGTCAGACATAAGTACATATTTGAAATTTACAGTGTTTAATATTTTTTTGGAGGAGACGTCGTCGATCTTATATTATATCTTGATCAAAATATTAGCTAATCGTCAGTAAGTGTCTGCTTTGATGATTGTGCAAACTAATTACCTTATAATGCTCAATTAATTACTTGGCTTGAAATGTTGTGTTAGCTTGCGTTTAATTCAATTTTCTATTCTCTTTTTATTTAGAAATGCTAAACAAATTATTTGAATGGTGGCATAAATATGACAAGGATAATTTTCGTATATGGGCAAGCTACTATGGCAATATTATAGTTTGCAATCCGAAACACCTGGAGGTAAATCTTAAGCAAAATATATTGAAATATATATATTTTATATATGGATTTGTCCATTTTCAGGTGATACTGAGCAGCAACACTTTGATCCAAAAATCAGATATTTATGATATGTTGCATCCCTGGCTTGGCGAGGGACTGCTCACGAGCAAAGGCAGCAAATGGCATAAGCATCGGAAAATGATTACGCCCGCATTCCATTTTAATATACTACAAGACTTTCATCAAGTTATGAATGAGACCTCGACCACATTTATCAATCAGCTGAAAAAGATTTCAGCTGGCGACAATATTATAGATTTTCAGAATGAAACACATTATCTAACCCTGGATGTCATCTGCAATACAGCGATGGGAGTAAATATAAATGCAATAGAAAAGCGGGACACTGTCAATGTTGTAAAGGCTTTCAAAGAGTGAGTTTATTTTCGGTTAATTGTTAAGCTTACAGTTTTGTTGACATCATGCTTACAGCATTTGCTACAACATCAATATGCGAGCATATGATCCCCTCATGCGGACCAACTGGATTCATCGCCTTACAGGTAGCTACGTTGAATTTTCGAAGACCCTCAAAATCTTACAAGACTTCACCAACGAAATCATTGAGAAGCGAATCGAAGCACATCGCACTGGTACCGCTAAGAAAATTGAGGGCGATGAGTTCTCCCGCAAAAAGATGGCTTTTTTGGACACACTGCTCTCCTCAACTATTGACGGCCGTCCATTGAATCAGCAGGAGATCTATGAGGAGGTTTCAACATTTATGTTTGAGGGTCACGATACGACTACATCGGGCGTAGGTTTCGCCGCCTATATACTATCCAGATTTCCGGAAGAGCAGGTGAGTAATTTTTAACTGATCAGCCTAAAAGTTGGCTAATGTTTTTCATCTTCAACCCAAGCGCAAACTATACGAGGAACAGCGCACTGTTATGGGCAATCAAATGCATCGTGATGCTACCTTTCAGGAAATCGCTGAGATGAAGTACTTGGATCTGTTTATTAAGGAGGCGCAGCGAGTGTATCCCAGTGTACCTTTCATTGGCCGTTACACTGATAAGGATTACGATATACGTGAGTTTGAAAAATGCTTACAGCAGAAACTGAACCATCATCGTGCTTTTGATATCTGTTAATAGATGGCACCATTATGCCAAAGGGCGTCACCCTGAATCTACCTCTGATCATGTTGGGTTATGATGATCGCACTTTCAAAGAACCGCATCGCTTCTATCCAGAACGCTTCGAACTGCAGAAGCCGGGTCCCTTTGATTATATTCCCTTCAGCGCAGGTCCCCGCAATTGTATTGGTCAAAAGTTTGCCCTATTGGAGATTAAGACTGTGATTTCGAAGCTAGTGCGTACCTTTGAGGTGCTGCCAGCTGTGGATGAACTTGTTTCCAAGGATGGCTACTTAAATACATATTTGGGCCTCCCCAAGGCAGAGCAAGAGATGAAGGAGTCGCAGGGTCACAAATACGATCCGATCTTATCCGCCGTTCTGACCCTTAAGTCCGACAATGGCCTACATCTGCGGTTGCGTGAAAGGAAATAGTTTCACATGTTTTTCTATTTATATTTATATGTTAGACATTCCAGATTTGTTTGTTTTATTAAAAGTTTATTAAAGTTACAGTTGCATAATCCGGATAGAAATTTTTTACATGGCAACTAAAACCGTGGCGACATAGCCGTTGGCCACAAACGCAGAGGTCTTAACGATGTCACCATTGATGTGCTGCGATTGCAACGAGCTGGTTATGACCTCAGCGGTAGCGCCCAAACTGAAGTACTTGGTTAGGTCAATGGATTTGTCAGTACCTCCCAGATTCAGCACCACCACATAAAGATCACTTCCTTCCTTTTGGCTACAAGAGAGACAGAGGAAAAGTTGTAGTCAGTGAATACTTTGAAGGCGTACAAGTGAAATACCGTGAGTAGATAAAGACATCATCATCGAGAGCTTGAATCTTCAAATCACCAGCACGGAACGAGGGCTCCTGCCTGAGACGCACCAGAGTCTTGAAGATTTGCAGATGCGATTGTGGAGCTCGCAGCTGTTGCAAGGCATTGTTTGTCTTATAATCATCCGAGACTGGCAGCCAGGTGTGATCAGCACTGGTAAATCCTGAGCGGGATATGAAGGAAATAATGAAATGGGTGATGGGTCTGACAACAATGCAGTTTCCCTGTACTTACCTGCCATTGGGGAAGCATCCCACTGATATGGTGTTCGTGCAGGATCACGAGAGCGATCATAGTAGTGCTCTGGATCGGAGTTACATGCTGGCGGATCGACAGTATCCTCCCAGCTGATGAACACATCAGTCATGCCGAGCTCCTCACCATTGTATGTGACTGCATGTCCGGGCAATGTCTGAAGCAGAATATTGATAAGATCCGTACGCTGCACACCAAAACGTGAAGCGACACGTTTGTTGTCATGATTGCCAAGCACCCAATTCGCGTAGACATCAGAGGGCATGGCATTCATCCACTTCTCAATGTGCTCCACATAGTCTGTAGCCTTTGAGGCGTTGTTAATATTCGAAAGAAAGTCAAAATTGAACGGAATCTGCGAGCCATTGCGAACGCCATCGCCGTAGAATTTGAGCATATTCTCGAAACTGGTGTAGGCCTCAGTCATGAGTATGCGCTGCTCTCCGCCGTGCTCCTTGCGGAACTCATCGACTACCTCGCGCCACTGGTAGATCATGTCGAATGTCTCGGGTTGGTCCTGGGTGTAGATGTGCTTCGTGTAGCAGTGATCGTCGGGATCGGGGCAGTTATTGTCGTTGGAAAGGGGCTCATCTGGATATTGATTGTAGCGATCCAGATCGATTTCAAATAGATAGGGTATCGCATCGATTCGAAAACCGGCAACTCCCTTGGCCAGCCAAAACCTAATCACGTTCTTCATCTCATTCACCACAGCGGGGTTGCGATAGTTGAGATCCGGTTGTTGCTTCGTAAATTGATGCAGATAATACTGTTCTCTGACCTCGTTCCATTCCCAAGCGCTGAACCGAAATTCTGATATCCAATTGTTTGGTGGCTCACGTTCACCAGTCTCCTCATTGATTTTGCCATCGTGCCAAATGTAATAGTCCTTGTACTTTGGATCTCCATTTATCGACTTGACGAACCATTCGCTCTCATCACTCGAGTGATTGGGCACAAAGTCCAATATGATCCGAATTCCGACCTCTTTGGCGCGTGCAATCAAACGCTCAAAGTCCTCCATGGTGCCATACTCCGGATGGACCTGATAAAAGTCGGCAATGTCATAGCCAAAATCAACCATGGGTGACTTGAAAATGGGCGACAGCCAAGCGGCAGTGAACCCAATATCCTTGAGGTACTGCAGCTTCTCTGTAACGCCATTCAGATCTCCAATGCCATCTCCATTGGAGTCACGAAATGAGCGCGGATAAATCTGATAATAGTTTCCACTCTCCCACCACTCAGTGGCGCTGCAGATACCCAGCACTACTGACAGAATCGCAACGACTGTTACAAATCGCATACTGAATGAATTTGTTCCAACTGACAACTGATTGGGGCCTTTTATGGGGCCCGATAAGACCATGCCCATTGAGTTTGTGCCCACATGGAGTGGATATCTCAATTGTTAGGCAAACAACCTGATCGCATAGTTTCCTGAGCAACCATACTGAGTATAATAATACCACTTTCGAATGTCATTCGTTTTAAGTATAAACACCAAAGCACTTTATAATGACAAATCAGAAAATGCGATTTCGCATTAGCTTTTTGAAACTGTGATTTTCGATTGTGGAAAATTTGTTGTTGTTTTTGCTTTTTCTGTTGTTATCACAGCAACAGAAGTGCATCGGGCATTAGTCAGTTTGCAATAATAATCATCTGATAGGAAGTATGCGAGAATTAAAAGCATACTTGAAATTATAGAAGTTTACCCCTAAGGGGCCTTATTGGAAGATAACCGACAAAGTCACTAACAAAAAATTGTTATTACACTCAAACTATTTGTCATCCACATTTGATAACCTTGCAAATGTCATCAACAAAATGTAGTTCACTATGCTACATCAAGGAATGGGAAGTATCAGAATTAATTTTAATACATATTTTGTTTTATTTTGTATCTATTTAGTTGTATGTCTATTTGCTCATTTAATGTGATAATTTCGAATAACAATTATTTACTAGTTAATTCCCACGAGTAGATTAAATTAAGCAAGCAATGCAATAAATTATTTATACGAATTTTATAACAACATATTTTATATAGATAAGAAGGTATTGTCAATAGAAGGGTATAAATAAACTAATGCTGTGGTGATGAACGAGATTACCAGAAAGAAATGACGCCGTTCAAATGTTATTAAATTTTCGAAGCTGTATAGATACATGAGATATCAGTAAACCATTGTGGCATTCATTGCAAAAATGTATTTATTAATCTTGTTTGAAATAAACATTCTTTAGATGTGAATAACTTGAAGACAATAGTGAATTATTTTGAGACTACACCGTTGTACGTTCCAAGTCCAGTCCAAGCGATCGGCTCATGGGCGAACATTGTTCTAATGGTGACCGCCGTGGTGGGCTTCGGGGGCATGAGCATGCTCAATGTTATAGGCAACGGCACGCACAAGTGCCTCGGGAATTGGGTATCCCGATGGCTGGTATCCGTGCTCATTGGCGACGTATTTGATGTTGATATGTTCGCCCTCGGGGGAGATCCAGCCGAAGCTGCCATAGATATTGCCGTGTTCATCGCCGTGGTCATCGCGTGTAATGTGGTTAGTGGTCTCAAGAGTGGAATCAAAACCGTCGTGGCGGACATCATCTTTGCGCAAAACGACTTCAGCGTGGGCATCCTCACTAGCAGCGGCAGCCAGGCCGATAAAAGCGCAGATCATCACCTTGAAAACATACAGATTGTCGATATTATTATCGTTACTTACTTTCGTCAACGATTAACTCACGATTTTGAACATTTTAACTTGAAGGTGTTGCAGTTGTGGTGCGTAAAGAACGAACGTTGACTGATGATCCACTCTGACCAACTGCTGCCTTTTATACTATTCCGAACTGGATGTTGACTAAATCGTCTTCTTTTTATGACTTGTCCCCTTTGCATCCAATCCCATTACCCCGAATTATGTGTGGAATTACCCGCCAAACCCAGTGTTATTTCAATATTATTTGCTTAGATAGATATGACAACATATCGCTTAATATTATTATTAAAAAGAATGCCAAAGTGCATCAAAAGCTGAACGATGAAACGCGTTCAATCCTCTATCCAAAACTCGTTTCAGTTGCAAAACATCGCGAGCCCCCAAATCTGTTCAATTCAGTAAAAAAAAAGAAACAACACTGGAAAATGTACATTGATAAATTATTGGGTTTATAAACCTGTCAAAGATTGCACTGAATTCTATTAAAATTTGAATACAATAATATCAAAATATAAATTAAATGCTGGAATGATTCCACATCATAGAATAATATATTGCCTATCAAATCTGAGTATAAGTCTTACACTCTTTGGCCGTTCCCCATTTTTATAAATATAATATTAATTCCAAAACGACCCGAGTATGATTTATGATTGATGAACAAACTGTGAAAAAGAATCATCCGGTTTCATTTTGTAATTATTTAAATATCGCCTGAGTTCCCTCTATATTCTCATAAATAAGCGAGTAAGTAAAACACATTACACATTTGCAATTATTGGTCATCTTTTTAATATACATTTGCCAAATCTGACATGCCAATCTTCTGGCTACTTGGTATAACATCAACATTTGAGTCGAACATAAAACTAATTCAATTTGTTTGATATTATTATGTTCTTATTATAATAATACTAATATTGATTGAGTAATGCCAGTAATGACAGTAATAATAATACTAATATTATTAACAATAATAATAATAATACCGGTGAAATAACAGAAGATATTTTAATTAAGTTGACTTTTGGCACCGCTGGCCAACACTCTAGTTTAGCAAACAAATCCACATTTAACTACTGCCATTAATTAACGAAATGCACACTTAAGCCAGTGTAATTTATTTGAAAGCACATCGAGTTATTAATGGCCGTGGGTTGACAAAAAATTTGTCAAAATAAAGTCAAGCATTTTTAAAAATGGCAAGTGAGAGCTCTGTCACAGTTGTCACAGCTGTCAAGTGGTCAGAAGGACATGAACATGAACTTTTCAACCATTGGATTTTGTTGTGTCAAGGATAATTCAACTTTTTTATTTCGGTGTTCGCTCGAAATACCTGTAAAATTAGCTCAAAAATTCTGTAATATAACACAGTTCATTAGTTTCAATCACGAAAATGTACTCTTAAGCGATTATAGACTGAAAGTAATTTTAAAGGTTATTTTGTAGCATACCTTCATATAACAAATCGTAGTTAGACACGATACTTTTTATTAGAATCTATAAATACATTAGATTTGCTTTTAAATATAGGTTTGACGTATAACATGATTCGTTCGGGAAAATATACTTTCCCTTAAATGTTCCAGAAACACACATTGTAAAATGTTAAAGATTAAGCCGATGAGTATCGCAATGTTATACTCGGGTCGCATAAAAATCATATCATAAAAGAAGTGTGCTTTAGAGAAAATTACTCGACTAACTAATACCTTGAAATGTAGTTGAAAGAAAATAATTATGGATTGATCTTGAACAGGTGTCTATCTTTCGTTGACTGTAACATAAACTTATACATATTTTAATATTATAGTATAGTGTACTTTTAAATTAATTTATATAAAATACAGGTTTCATTCCCAATTATTGTGGAACTATTTTAATTTTATTGCTGATTTCTTAGGTTAGAAGAAATAAATTGTATGTTTCTAGTTACATTTTATCGATAAACTCATTTTGCCATTGGCAGCAGGGTGTTAAAAAGCACAAGAGCAACTCGTGTAATCTATGAACAATGCCAATAAAGTGTGTGACATGCCATATACCAATACTTTACAATATACTGAATGTCGTATATCGTATACGAGAATAGCTGGTCTTATCGACCCAATTACTATCGCAACATGGGAAACTGGCAATTGTTATTAACTAATTGATTGAGCTGCACTCAAACGCGAGCGACATGTTAACGCGACTACTTCTAGGTCTGCTCGCAGCACTGTTGGTGAGTCCCACAATTGGCTCCAAGGACATCGATTGGTGGGAGAATGCGGCGCTGTATCAGATTTATCCGCGATCCTTCCAGGATACCGATGGCGATGGCGTTGGCGATTTAAATGGCATTACGCAACGTCTGGCGTATCTGAAGGAAATTGGCATCACAGCCACTTGGCTATCGCCGATTTTCAAGTCGCCCATGTCAGATTTTGGCTATGATATATCGAACTTTAAGGAAATTGATCAGATCTTTGGCACAATGGATGATTTTGATGCCATGATGGTGCAAGCCAAGAAACTGAACTTGAAGATTATACTGGACTTTGTGCCGAATCACTCGAGCGATGAGTGTGAGTGGTTCCACAAATCTGTGCAACGACTCGATGGCTACGATGACTTCTATGTGTGGCACGATGGCAGGGTGAATGCGGAGACGGGTGAACGCGAACCACCCAGCAATTGGGTGAGCGTTTTCGGTGGATCACAGTGGACCTGGCATGAGACGCGACAGCAGTATTTCCTGCACCAGTTTCAGGTGAAGCAGCCGGACCTAAACTTCAGTAATCCCATGGTGCGCGAGCATATGCTGGACGTGCTGGGCTTCTGGCTGGATCGGGGAGTCGATGGTTTTCGCATCGATGCCGTGCCGCACATTTACGAGCTTCGGAATGCCGATGGTAGCTACCCTAACGAGCCGCTAAGTGGCTGGAACAGCGATCCCAATAGCTACGACTATCTTGATCACATCTACACCAAGGATCAACCAGAGACTGTGCAGCTAATGTACGAATGGAGGGATTACTTGATAAAATATCAGGCAGAGCATGGTGGCGAGACACGTGTGCTCCTGGCAGAGGCGTACAGTTCAGTGGAAACGCTGAGCGATTACTTTGGCAGTGGCGAGCGGCAGGGCACCCAAATGCCTATGAACTTTCAGCTGATGTATCTTAACGGCTACTCAACAGCCAAGGATGTTGTCGGTGCTATTGACTATTGGATGCAGACCATGTGGACGAATCACCAGACGGCCAATTGGGTGGTGGGCAATCACGACACACAGCGTGTGGCTGATAGGATGGGTGCACATAAGGTGGATCTGCTCAATGTGATTGTGAATGCACTGCCAGGTGCCTCGGTTACCTACTACGGGGAGGAGATTGGCATGTCCAATGTGAAGACTGAGTGCACTGAGATCTCATGCGATGATCGGGATGGCGAAAGAACGCCCATGCAATGGTCTCCAGCTACAAATGCCGATTTCTCCACGGCTGAGAAAACTTGGCTGCCCGTTGGTTCCGACTTTCAGCGTTATAATGTGAAAACTGAAAGGGGCGTGGCTCGTTCCTCGTTGCAGGTGTTCAAGGGTCTGCAGCAGCTAAAGAGTTCCGCTGCTTTTATGGCCTTCAAGCAGACGAATGGATTCTCCTACACGGCAGTCACGGAACAGGTCCTCCAGATTGTGCGGTAAGCGACAAGCAAAGCAACTTCGAAAAATTGTCACTGAATGAGATATTCTACACCGCAGCACCAATAATCACAATGAGGAGTATCGCATTCTAGTCAACATGGGCAATAAAATGGAAATAATTGATGCTCTGGTGGATAGAGTATTTGAATACATACTTGTGACGGCCTACTCTGTACACACACCTGGGTAAGTTTAAACTCCATTTACTTGAAGTGCTGCTCATACAATTATATTTTTTATAGAGAGACTATTGATCTGAAAGGGCGAATAATACTGATGCCATATGAAGCAATCGTACTACGCTGGCTGGCCTGAGTCACGAGTTTGAATTTAGTCAGTGCATTTCGCAATCTTAATCATGATTGAAGCTATGTGCCATATAACTCAATTAAAAGCAGCTTGGTAGTTTAGCTAATATGCGTAAGAAGTTATTTAAAGGTTCTCGCTAAATATCAATATTTCAATATCACATTTTTATTTTCAACTCAATCATGCGAGTGTCGAAGTTGTGGTAGTTATAAGTCCAACGAGTTGGCTTATCAAACACACCTCAATAGGTTGATAAGGAATAATTACGACCTGTTATAAGGTATATACATATATATATATATCGACAAGAATCGTGTGCGTATATGTGTATTATATTTTATATGATATTTTTGGTTGCCTAATCTGAATTGACATTGCAGATATTCAACGAACACAAATGAACTTAATAAAAATGAGAAATCAGGTTGTTAAACAGTGCTAAGTACAATAACTTCTTTGGGCATCAAGAGCACTGAGTTGGCATAGGTCAAATCACTACAAAAATGAGAAAAAATTCAAGTTAATTTACAATTTAAGCATTACATTTTGAAGACTTCACTTACTTCTTGCGACGAATACTTTTGTTAGTGACAACAACGTAGCGCAGCTCGGAGGTCAGGTCGATGAAGACAGAGTCTAGGATAACCGTTTCAACATCATCGTTCAGGTTCCAAACGACTATGTACGACTTATGACCAGGAAGAGACCTGCAAGTAGATATAAAGAATTCAGTTTCAGAAGGAATTCCTAACCCAAATGATTTGCGACGAACCGTTTGAAGGCCAGCACAGTGGGTCCAATGGGTTTGACGGTGACATCGCCATCCTTCATGGTGGGCTCATCTCGCAGGGCACGCAGCTGCTTGTAGACATTAAGATGACTGAGGGCGATGCCACGCTCCCGCTTCACATTCACCAGCTTGTAGTCCTTTGAGATGGGCAGCCAGGTGGTTGGGCCACTGGTGAAGCCAGCGTTTGCCTCATCGCTCCACTGGAATGGCGTGCGAACGGGATCGCGTGTAAGGCGCTCAAACTCCTGTTCATTGGACTGGCAGGCCTGTGGATCCACCGTGTCCTCCCAACTGATGAAAACATCCAGCATGCCCAGCTCCTCACCCTGATAGGTCACACTAATGCCGGGCAGCATCAGTAACAGCATATTGGCGGCATCGATGCGATCCGCCCCGAGTCGTGATCCAATTCGACTCTGGTCGTGATTGCCCAGCACCCAGTTGGCCACTTGGCCAGCGGGCATGTTGTCCAGCCAGTTGTGGATCAGCTGCGCGTAATCGAACGCATTCGAGTCGTAGTGAACGTTGGCGAGGAGCTCAAAGTTGAATGGGATCTGAGAACCCTTGCGGGTGTCGTTGCCGTAGTATTGCATAAGGACATCCAGTGGGGCATAGGCCTCGGTTAGGAGGATACGGTCGTCGCCACCCAGCTCCTGATCTATCTCCTCAAGCACCTGGCGGAAATCATAGACCAGCTCAATGGTCTCGGGCTGATTAGTTGTATAGATATGATCCAAATAGGCATAATCCTCTGGATCGCTGACATATTGATTGCGCGGCTCATCGGGCCAGTTGCCATTGACATCGGCTTCGACTTCAAAAACATGCGGCACGGCATCGATACGGAAGCCATATACACCCTTGCGCAGCCAGAAACGGAGCACATCCTTCATGGCCTCAACAACCTTGGGATTGCGGTAGTTCAGATCCGGCTGCTTGGCATGGAACTGATGCAGATAGTAGGCCTGACGACCCTCATGCCAGGTCCACTGCGATCCACGGAATACGCTAATCCAATTATTTGGTGGCTGCCTAATTCCATTGACCACCTTTCCAGTATGCCACACATAGAAGTCCTTGTATTCCTCTTCGCCAGCTGCCGATCGGATGAACCAATCGCACTCATCACTCGAGTGATTTGGCACAAAGTCCAAAATAATTTTAATATTCATCTGGTTGGCTTTCTGCACAAGTGCCTCGAAATCAGACATGGTGCCAAAGACCGGATCAATTTCATAGAAATTGGCCACATCATAGCCAAAGTCCGCCATGGGCGACGTGAAAATCGGCGATAGCCAAGTGGCTGTGATGCCAATCTCTTTCAGATATGCCAGCTGTTGCGTAATACCTAAAAAGAAGCAATAGCAAATATAAAATTTAGTTTGGGTTTGGTTTGCACCACATAGGAAATTCAGACATACCCTGCAAGTCACCAACGCCATTGCCATCGCTATCCTTGAAGGAGCGCGGATAGATCTGATAGAACTGTGCCGAGCGCCACCAGCCTTCCTCAGCCAAAGTTGGCAGTGCGAGTGCCATCAGGCAGCACAATGTCAAAGCTTTTGCCAACATGGTGTCGGAATGGCGATTGCGGCAACGGATTAACCACGGCCTCTATTTATGCACTCGGGCCGCACTGATAAGTGATAAGCTAAGGACGAGATAAGCCCACCATTATTGGAAACTATCGCACACTGATTAGAACTGGGGCTCCATTTAGGAATTGTTTATGGCCAAAGCATGTTCAAGTTGCAATAGTCTCTGCATAATAAACTACGTAGTGGGCATTTATGGAAGCTTTATGTTATCGCTATTCTGGTTTCACGTTTCTAGATCATGCGACAGATAAACATCAATTACATTTCGTTGTTTCATAAAAGATATGACCCTGCCCAGGCCCATGGTCGATTTATCAATTTATGACCATATTTCTGCTGGGGGTATTTTTAGCAAATACATTTTGAGCAGGCATAAAATGCCTACGCAGATAGTAAAATACAGAAAATTGGCATTAACATATTTTCCTAAATTGAAATGATCTGAAGTTATTTGACGACATAAATAAATTTGTGAAATATATTGGCTTGTAGCCCAAAACAAAATTAAATTTTTAACATAATTAACTATGCATTAAGCAAAAATTAGAATATAGTCCCCACTTTGTATTAACACTTGGTTGCCTAAATGTTTACTTAATATTTGACATGAGCGGTTGAAGTGCCTTAATCGGAATATTTTGCCATATGAAATCTAAGCCAATTGATCCATAAATTTATAAAATTGGCAACCAGTGAAGAGGGTGACCGATAAGCCATTAATTCCATATGTTTTACAATTTAGATTCGATCATTTTCATCGCCGTTGAGGGCATATAAGAGTTGGATGGACCTTGCAACTCCTTTAGTTCAAAATGACCACTTGGTTTGGCATTGTCTTATTAGTGGGATTGGGCTTTTTGGCCGTAAATGCCACTGCCCCCTGGTGGCAGACAGCCTCATTCTATCAAATCTATCCGCGTTCTTTCAAGGACAGCGATGGCAATGGCGTTGGCGATCTGAATGGTGTTACTGAGAAGTTGGAATACCTCAAGGAGATCGGAGTTACTGCGACTTGGCTGTCGCCGTTCCTGCTTTCACCTATGGCCGACTTTGGATATGATATTGCCGACTTTAAGGAGGTGGATCCCCTCTTTGGCACGATGGAGGATTTTGAGAATATGGTGTCGCGTGCCAAGCAGCTCAATGTGAAGATCATCCTTGATTTTGTGCCCAACCACTCGAGCGATGATTGCGACTGGTTCATTCGATCCGCTGCCGGCGAGGAGAAGTACAAGGATTACTACATCTGGCATCCAGGATTCGTTGAGAACGGCGTGCGCAGACCGCCCAGCAACTGGGTGAGCGTGTTCCGTGGCTCCGCTTGGGAGTGGCACGAGGGTCGCCAGGAGTACTATCTGCATCAATTCCATAAGAAGCAGCCCGACTTTAACTTCCGCAACCCCGTCGTCCGCGAGGAGATGAACGATGTGCTCCGCTTCTGGCTGGAGAAGGGCGTCGATGGCTTCCGTGTGGATGCCATCTATCACGCCTTCGAGATTCAGGCTGATGGCAATGGCAACTATCCAGATGAGCCCCGCAACGACTGGACCAACGATCCCGATGAGTACGGCTACACCCACAAGATCTATACGGTCGATCAGCCCGAGACGCCGCATTTGGTGTACGAATGGCGTGAGATTCTGGATCAGTTCCAGGCGGACAACGGCGGTGAAGAGCGGTAAGTCAGCGAGAAAGTGCTCACTGGGGAAACATTTACTCTTTTCCGGGGCACTTGAACAATATAAACTCTGACCAAAGTCATCTCCTTTACGTAATGATCTTTGTCATTGTAGCATACTCATGGTGGAGACCTGGTCCCCAATTGAGGTTGTGATGCACTATTATGGCAACTCGACGGCGGAGGGGGCACAGATACCCTTCAATTTCCAGCTGATAAGCAATCTGAACAGAGACTCCGATGCCTATCACTACGAGTACTTGATTAACAACTGGCTATCGCTAATGCCGAACGGCAAGAGCGCCAACTGGGTGGTAAGTTGAGAACTTCAAGAACTCATAATAGACCATGTGACTAATTGCTAACGGTAATCAATTGACGCCGATACGGCGCACAGATTGGTAATCACGATAAGAACCGCGTGGGCTCCCGTTTCGGTGCCGATCGTATTGACCTGTTCAATATTCTGCTGCTGACACTGCCCGGATGCAGTATCACCTATCAGGGCGAGGAGATTGGAATGCTGGATGGCTATGTCTCGTGGAAGGATACGGTAGATCCTCAGGCATGCAATGGCTATGAGGAGAACTATATGGCCATGTCACGTGATCCGGCTAGAACACCCATGCAGTGGACCGATGGCAACATGGCTGGCTTCACCACCGGCAGCACAACATGGCTGCCAATTGGCCAGGACTATGCCCAGCGCAATGTGCAGACGGAGCGCGGTGCTGCACTCAGCCATCTGAATGTCTTCAAGAAGCTACAGCAGCTGCGCAAGGAGCCAGCCATCCAGCAGGGTGCCGCCGATGTCAAGGCAGTCAGCCACTATGTCCTGGCTAACAAGCGGTAAGCTAAGATCCCCATGGGTTTCCCAATTTTGCCCCTAATGACTATCTATATTAATCACTTGACAGCTATCTGAGTGGCAATTACGTTTACATCTCACTGCTAAATATTTTCGACAATATTGAGAATGTGAACTTGCACGATGTCTTCGACGGATTGCCAGATAATTTCCAGTACGCCTTGGTCACCCGCAAGTCCATCAAGCAGCTGGGCGACAAGGTCTCCGCTAGCAGTGTCACCCTAATGCCCTACGAGTCCATTGTTCTGCGCTCCACAACGACTGTATGAGCCGAAACATAGAGTTCTGTATTATAATAAAAATGCATTTTATCTTGATGATTGATTCGTTTGTGGACTGATTTTATGGGGACAAGTCTTGAGACCGTGTTTGTAAACATACATATGCTTGTGTATTGAATTTAATTGAAAATCATTTAATTGACATGAAATATGTATGTGTATAATCAATCCAAATTAATATACAATTTAAACAAGAGTTATTTATTACGATTATCTATAATAATAAACAATGAATCGATAGTGTTAATGTTATCATCTAATCTCTAACGCCTCGGACACTTCACATAAGTATAAACATGCATACAAGTGTACATATATACATATGTATGTAAGTATGTATATTATTAGAAACATGCAAATCCGATAAACGACAACATGCAATAAATATTGCATGTATACTGATACAGTGGTTGACAACTACAAATATACATATACAGTAAATAAATGAAAACAACACAAAAGTTTGGCATGTGGCGGAAGTACAGATTTTGCATATTGAATGTTAAATATGTTTGTCTACCTTCTCTCCTTCTCTCCTTCTCTCTCTCTCTCTCTCTCTCCCTATCTCTCTCTCTATTCTTTTTCTCTCAAGAGATCAGCATCGATCACATGAATACTAAAAATAAAAGCTCAGCGTTGCCAGAGAGCTGTACGCAAAGAGAGTGGAGAGGTAATCGCTTGTAAATTGGCATGGTACGCAAGTATTTTGCATTTGATTATCAGTCATCTCTGCTTGCTTGTCACGTTCAGATCCAGCAGCGACGGTATACACAATAATAAAGCTGAGGAAAAAAGTGGAAAGAGGAGAAAATGGTGAACCGCATGGGCGTTTTGCTAGTGTGGTTGATGCTGCAGTTCATTGGACCGACATTGAGTCAGCCATTTCCCAACTATCATGCAGACTTTGTGGACATCGATCACGATGATAATCAGCCCAAGTGGTGGCAAGCTGGCGCCTTCTATCAAATCTATCCAAGGTCATTCAAAGATAGCAATAGTGATGGCGTGGGCGACTTGAATGGTGAGCCAATATCAAAATAAAAATGAGAACAAAGCAGCGGTGTAGAATGAAAAAAACACTTGGCAATTTCAGGCATTGCGGACAGCCTGCCTTATCTGAAGGAATTGGGTATTTCGGCCACTTGGCTCTCGCCCATTTTCACATCACCGATGGCGGATTTTGGCTACGATATTGCCAACTTCACGGAGATAGCGCCAATCTTTGGCACCATGTCCGATTTTGAGCGACTGATGAAGATCGCCAAGAAATTGGATATGAAGATCATATTGGACTTTGTGCCCAATCACTCGAGCGATGAATGCGACTGGTTCAAGCGATCGGCGGCTGGTGAGGAGGACTACAAGGACTTCTATGTGTGGCATCCCGGGCGAATGGTGAACGGTACTCGCTACCCGCCCAGCAATTGGGTGAGCGTCTTTCGCGGTTCCGCCTGGCAATGGCACGAGACCCGAAAGGAATATTATCTGCATCAGTTTCTGAAGAAGCAACCGGATCTCAACTATCGCAACCCCAAAGTGCGAGACACAATGAAGGTGAGCAGAGGGATCGTGTCTGATCTACGCAGATCTTGACATTAATCATCTTCAAAATCTTGCCCGGCAGAATGTTTTGCGCTTTTGGTTGTCCAAGGGTGTGGCTGGATTTCGCATCGATGCTGTGCCGAGTCTGTTCGAGATAGCGCCCGATGCTGAGGGTCAGTATCGCGATGAACCGCGCAACGATTGGGTCAACGATCCCGATGATTATGGCTATCTACAGCACATTTACACTGTTGACCAGCCGGAGACAATAGCGATGGTGTACGAGTGGCGTGCCGTACTCGATGAGTTCCACGATGGCGCTGAACGCATTTTACTGGCCGAGAGCTATTCACCCATCGATATTGAGATGCAGTATTACGGCAATGCAACCGTGGATGGTGCTCAGCTGCCGTTCAACTTTCTGCTGATAACCGAAATCTCAAACAAGTCGAATGCGGAGGATTATGCTCGAACCATTAACAAATGGCTGCAGCACATGCCAGAGGGTCGCACTGCCAACTGGGTGGTAAGCATCCCTTGATATATACATATATATATATGCTTAAGTTAATCCCCTGATCTTGTAATTTACAGCTGGGCAATCACGATCAGTCGCGTGTGGGTTCGCGCCTGGGCTCCGATCGCGTCGACATGTTGAATATGCTGATAACAACATTGCCGGGTGCCAGTGTGACCTACCAAGGTGAAGAGCTGGGCATGACAGATGTGTGGATATCGTGGAAGGACACACAGGATCCCTCGGCCTGCAATACCAATGCCAGCATCTATGAGCGATTCTCACGCGATCCCGAACGCACACCCTTCCAGTGGAGTGCCAGCAGTGATGCAGGATTCAGCAATGCCAGCAAAACTTGGCTACCAATTGCCCCGGATTACAAGCTGGTCAACGTAGACCAGGAACGCCAGCAGCCCCAGAGTCACCTTAATATCTACAAGCAGCTGATGCAGCTGAAAAAACAAACGAAAACGCTGCAACTGGGCAAAACGGAAGTGAAGGCCTTGTGTGGTGCTGTACTCGGTGTTAAGCGGTATGTGCTCTGTGGGTTTCAGTGCTTGAAGTCCATTTTATCTGATGCCCTCTGTATTTACTTAGCTATCTTCAGCATGACTTCATCTATTTGACACTGATGAATATCTTCGATGACGTGGAGACAGTCAATCTCAAGCAGAGCTTTAGTGACTTGCCAGCCCAAATGAAAGTGGTGCTCGTAGCAGGCAACTCCAAATTGAAAGTGGGGTAAGTAATGAAAAACTAACAACTACAGATTGTGTTGGCGAAATTATTAATATCTTCATCTATGATACTTCTGGTCAGAAGAACATGGTTTATATATTATCAAGATAATCGAGAAACTCGAGAGTTACTCTGCCTGCCTACTGCCAGTCATACTCAATTTTTCTGCAAATTTTAATTTATATATAGGAAATTACACGATATTCATTTCTTTTCAAATTCTTAGTGATCTCATCGATACCAGCTCATTGCAATTGCTTCCCAAGGAGTCGCTGATTGTGAGAAGCACAACTACTTATTACACTTACTATACGAATGGAGAGCTTCGCCAGCTGCCCGTTTTTGGTATTTATTTGCTATTGGCTCAAGTAGCGCTCTATCTGAGCTATCGTCGAGCTCTTCTCACACTTAATTGATAGCGGGTACTCATTTGTTTTATTTAATTAATATACTTAGAACGCTTAACCAAATAAATACTTATATACAAGCAATGCACTCAATGCTTATCACTCTGTGTATTTCGTATATAAGCCGCTTTCAAAAAATTTGCTAGTCAGTCATGGAATATTTATATAAGTTGTTAGTTACGTTGCTCTGTTTGGGTCCGATCTGCTGGAGCAGCCAGGCGGCTGTTGTGGACCTGGAGAGAGCGAGCGGCTCTCGTGATTGGTGGCAGGTGGCGCAGTTTTATCAGATCTATCCGCGCTCATTCAAGGACTCCAATGGCGATGGCATTGGTGATCTGCAGGGCATCATCTCCAAGCTGGACTATCTCAAGGATCTGGGCGTGACGGCCACTTGGCTATCGCCCATTTTTACCTCACCTATGGCTGATTTTGGCTATGATATTGCCGACTTCTATGATATTCAGGCAGAGTATGGCACACTGCAGGATTTTGATGAACTGATTGCAGCAGCCAAGGAGCGTGGACTGAAGATTATCCTGGACTTTGTGCCCAATCATTCGAGTGATGAGAATGTTTGGTTCCAAAAGTCCGTTAGGCGCGAGAAGGGCTACGAGGATTACTATGTGTGGCACGATGGGTATCTCAATGCCACTGGCGACCGGCAGCCGCCATCCAATTGGCTGCAGGCCTTTCGAGGCAGCGCCTGGGAATGGAATGAGCAACGTGGACAATATTATCTACACCAGTTTGCGGTCAAGCAGCCCGATCTCAACTATCGCAATCCAGCGGTCGTCGCCCAAATGAAACGTGTTCTCACCTATTGGATGGATCGTGGCGTGGCCGGCTTTCGCATTGATGCCGTACCCTGGTGTTTTGAGGTGCTGCCCGACTCTGAGGGCCGTTATCCGGACGAGCCACTGAGTGGATATACAGATGATCCAGATGATTCCTCCTACTTGAAGCACATCTACACGCAGGATCTGCCCGAAACTGTGGACATGGTCTATCAGTGGCGTCAACTGCTCGACGATTATCAGCGCGTGCATGGCGGCGATACTCGAGTCCTCATGGTGGAGACCTATTCAAACCTGGACTATGTCATGCAATTCTATGGAGATCACACCACGAAGGGCGCTCAGATACCATTCAACTTTCAGTTCATTGTCGGCGGTCAGGGTGACAAGAACAACACACAAATGAATGCAGGCGGTTTTGTGAAGATCATCAATAGCTGGATGAGCCAGATGCCAGCCGGGCAGACAGCCAATTGGGTGGTAAGTATTTTAAAGACTAATTAACTGGTAAATAAAATGGAAAATAATATGCTTTGAATATTCTTTGTAGATGGGCAATCACGATCAGCGTCGCGTTGGCAGCCGTTATGGAGAGCAGCGCATCGATTTGATGAACATGCTGCAAATGTTCCTGCCGGGCGTGAGCATTACATATCAGGGTGAGGAGCTGGGCATGACTGATTTGGATATCAGCTGGGAGGACACACGTGATCCGGCTGCCTGCAATTCGAATCCGGAGATTTACGAGCAGTTCACGCGAGATCCGGCGAGAACGCCCTTCCACTGGAGCAGCGAGTTGAACGCGGGCTTCTCCACAAGCAGCAAAACATGGCTGCCCATCAATCCCAACTATGTGTCGGTTAATGTGGCAACAGAGAGTGCCGCTGATTCGAGTCATCTCAAGCTGTACAAACAGTTGGTGCAGCTGCGTCAACTGAAGACGTTGCAATATGGTGCAACGAGATATGCGGCTATCAATGATAATGTGTTGGCCATTAAGAGATCGCTGAGTGGACAGCAAAGCTATGTGCTGGTGGCCAATGTGCTGGACACCAGTGTCAGTGGAGTTGATGTGGCCAGCGTACTTTATGCCTCGGGCAACTATAAGATCAAGCTGCTCAATCCGGAAGCCAAGGCCAGTGTTGGGTAAGTTAACAAAACCATTTCTTAATCAATAGCTCAATTTATGACATTCGTTTTTATTCTACTTACAGGGATAGCGTCACATTAAACAACCTTACATTACAGCCATACGCGGCTTTGATTGTGGAGTCTGTTTAGGTGTCCTTCAAATTATATGCCTTGTCATAAGTTAACCAAAATAATATGAATATAAATATAAATATATATATACATATATATATGTATGTGTATGTGTGATTTTTCTTTCCTGTATAGAATTCATTGTCAAACAACATTGGACAACTTTTCAATTTTAACACGAAATTATTATGAAATATTAGGGAACTTTGTCTGCCTCAAGTATGTGGCCGCAGAAAAGAAATTCCATTAGACGTGATTGATAAGACACACAAATCACGCATACGCAGTGTGTTGCAGCAGACAGCAGAAAAACCTTCGACTCTCTGATTCCGTAAAGTTTCCCTTGTTGACGTTGCCTCCGCCACTTGGCCCCCTTCACGATTCCCACCTATAATGTGGGTGGATGCGGTAGCGTGGTGCGGGCACAGACACGACCAGAATGGCAAACGACATCCAGCAACGAATGGGGGTTAGCTTTTTAATTTACTCATAAAAAATGAAGTGAAATTATTATGAGTTTTCACCTCGGGGCTATTCTCATGATGTACTGCGCACTTCCCCCAACCACGAAACCATCAGAAACATGCCCGGAACTGTAACTCAAACAGTACCCTGTTAGCAGCAAATTACAAATTACGTAAAAAAAAGAAGAAAAAAAACTAAAAAGAAAAAAAATAAATGTGGGTTAAAGCAGTTCGTATTTTAGTCTGAAATGGTAGCCGTAAAATGGCTGCATGCATGCTAAAAATAGTTGTGTAAAGATAATGTTCAAGGAAAACAAGGAAAAATTAAAGGATTTTTAACTGAACGATTTAACTACAAAGTTAGAGTTCACTGCTCGAATAGAGGATATACCTGACCGGGGTAGGTAGAGAAAAATTGCTGGATGTGGATGAAACTGTTATATAAATAATGAACATATACATATATCTGTATATAGATACATTTATATATATCACTGAAAATATAAATTCAATGTCATAACTCTAGTCGAATTGTCTATGATGGAAATGTGTACAAGAACATAGCACAAGTCAAAACTAGTTTCAAAAAGTACAACAGGAATTGAAAATAATATGCGGATGTCGGCTTAAGCCGCTTATCACAATTTGAAGCCCAAAGCTATAGGAATTGAAAGTGATGCCGATATAAATTCATACATTCATCTTTTTGTAGTCATTGCGGTATTGTGCGGACATTGGAAAATTAGCAGTATGCGGCAAAGCGGCCTACAAAATGTATAAAAATCGTGTAAATGGCCGCGTGACTCGACAACCCATTAAAAGGGTCGCAGACACAATCCAATCCAGAGTCTGAGGCACTTTACTCCCGGTTACGTGACCTGAAACTTAACTAAAAAATAAATAAATAAAAATGAATAAGGAATATGCTATATACATACATATATGTGTAGTCCAAAACCGCAAGAAGAAGCCAGGTTGTTGCCTTCATGTTGCCTCGTTTGCGGGCCTTTGTATATTTTCTTTTTTTGAAGATAATGAAGTTAATTTCGAGAAAAGAGGACGCTTAAAAAATCAGCGCACTACGTATTAAGTTTAAGACGCTTTTCGCAGATTTACGATGAAAGCAGGACGAAAACTTTTACCTCGTCATCGACGAAAACTTTGAAATGCATTAAGTTTGTAAGCTGTTGTAATTTTGTAAGCAGAAAGCATGCAGCGACACATTTACTAAATGTATTTCAGCCACAACAGCGTTTGCATATTAATTTTTGTTTGTACAAGCATCGTATGCTTAATATTTGAGTGCGTCTCACCTGCATTTACCTTCTCTAATTTTCCGGATATATTTAGGTCCCTGTTCAGTTGTTGTTGTTGTTGTTGTTATTATTAAGTTGTTAACGAGCCTCGTCCGTTTTCTCTGCTTTTTGATCTGCTCTATGCGAATCACGTACGGGTTTGGTCAGGTAAGCTTGGAAAGTCACTTTAACCTTTCAATGATTTGTATATTCGAATTTATGTGGCTTTAATCCCATCAAGGCAAACACATCAAGTTTTTATGGTTCACAACATTTTCAAATAATTTTCAACTGCCTTTTAAAAACAGAAGATTTAAGAATTTTAACCCGCATTAAAAGGCGCATCTCTCAGTACATAAATTATGCATAATTAAATTATACCTTGAAACTTAAACTGCAGCTATTTGGAGTGCACTTACTGTAGCTAATACTTTTGGATTAATTAGTATCCAGCCAAAAGCCAGAGTAACTCATCTCTCTGTCATTAAACTCACCACGAACTTGGCACATAACCGCTGGGCATCGTTAAGAAAAGGGCTGAGATGTGGGTTTGTGGGCTAATTTATACGCTGCCCACTTAACTGAAACCAAAACGATGACAGTTAATGTAACCGAAAGGGGATAAAAGATAAAAGTCCATTGGTCGCTGTTGCAGTTTTGTGGAGTGAGCAATAGAATTAAGCTTATGACGACTTATATCAGTTGGATATCTACACATCAACCCTTTATCAGTACTATTTAATTGTACCAATAACATAGATTAAAAACCTTTGCAAGTGTTTAAGTTCTTAGATGACCCCTTAAACTTTGAATATAGTTCAATCACCTGTTGGCCCCTCAAAGCATGCAGCATTTTCCATTTTCTTAGCCAATGCTGCAACCTAATCTGTGTCGAAGTTAATCCGCAGTCTGCAAACAACACGATGTTGAGTTGACACATTTCCCATTTCCCATTAAAACAAAACAAAACCGCTTTATATGTATACACAAATTGTTTTCTTTTATTTTTAACTTGATTTGTGTATTCTCTTACAACTTTTATAATTGCTCATGCGCTAGACATTAACCGAGCGCTTAGGCTATTTTTGTATTATTATTAATAATGTCTCGACAACGTTGAGGGCTTTTTGGTTATACGCTTTCATTAAATTCAAAGGGTATATATTTTTGTCTTGGTAGTTAACTCTCTCTTTAATCAAGTCATAAGGCCACTTAAGTGTGCAGATAAAATCCGAAAAGGTACTTGAAGGGACTTCGCCCAGATGCGTGTTAATGACTCGATTGTTGTTTACTCAAATTGTGTTCCAGCTCTTATCTCTTTGGGATCTCTTGGCAACAAATGTTTATTCTATGGCTGCAGAATTTATGTTTTTGGGTTGTGTACGTGTCGTGGTATGCGTCATTCCCCTTGCATGGCTGACAACTACAAATTACCACGTGCAAACGCAATTTAATTATCTATAGCGTAATTGAAATTTCACTTTCAGAAGCCTAACCAATACGAAAGTTCGACAGTGAGGGTTAATTGCATTATTCTTAGAGTAGGCCAAAGGTTGTCCATATATAGAAGTCCACAATATACAATTCTTTATTTATTTGTAAGTTCGTAGCAATATACAATAACGATAAAGGGATTTAGGGAAAGATAAGGTATTTGTATAATTTAACTACTTGTCTTTGATTTTTCTTTACAACGATTTAAAGCGACCCTCGCTTTTAGCTTTGCGACTTCAAAGGCGACCAGGACTTCTGTTGGAGCCTATAGGCCCCCCACTTGTATCTGTATTTACTTTGCGTTACGCATACTTTGCTTTTCGGTTGCTGTTTCCCTTTGAGCAAGCAATATGTAAAATACAAAGTACCAAACACAAAAAAATAAAACACAAACACAAAATACAAAATACGAGACGGTTCGCAGCTTGACTTTAATTTGTGTGTAAACACTTTAAATGGCGAGCCTCGTTGCAGACCCCGCGCCTTGCCGGAAATTACATGAGGTCGCCGGGCACTTGAGCCTATCTGAGAGCATGTGAGTGTGTGTGTGGATTTGTTTGTGAGTGTGTGCGAAGGTTTATGTGCATGTGTATGTGCGGTGGACTGAGTGGTTTGTTTGTCGATTTGTTTGTTTGCTTATTTATTTATACAAGAGTCGGCATACTTGCTTTTGGGAACACCCGAAAGCTGCCTGAGCTGTCGAAAGTTTTTGAAAGTGCGATAGCAAATTTAATTGGTTAGACTTAAAAAATTAGTCCAACTGAAAAAACTTTATTGTATTTAACTGTCGCTTAAGACCAGAGCCTCCCCAGCAGCCAGGCTAAGACCATTCGTTTCAAACAGAGCCCTGGAAAATATATGCAGATAAGTAAAGATTACCAAATTCTGAGCAGAGCCAAAAAAAAAAAAAAAATTATAATTTACCCTTCTGCCTTGCTCGAGTTCAGGCTACGTATTTTCAGGGTCAAATGTGTTGGCAAAGTCGTGTCAAACTGGTCCAGATTAATGGTGATGCCTCTGCTGCCCAAATTAGCCACAAGAATAATCCTGGGCGAGCCAGACAGTGAGCTGTTACGAAACAAAGAAAATGTAGTTATTTATTCGATTACTGAAAGAATTATAAAAGCTTTGACTTTGATATGTTTCGGTTTGCTTTCATCGACTGGGAAACTTGAATATTTTCTTTCTTGTTATTCTTAACTTACCGCTTGACCACAAACACATTCTCACTGACCACATCATACTTGGTGGCACCATTCTGTAGAGTTTTCGAGCTCTTGCGCAGTTCAACCAGTGATTTGTAGATCTTGAGATGAGAGCGAGCTGCTGCTGATTCCGTCTCCACATTAGTCGTTTTATAGTCCTCGGCGAGAGGCAGCCATGTCTTCGATGCTGTGGAGAAACCCGCATTTAAGCCACTTGTCCACTGGAAGGGTGTGCGAGAGGGATCACGGGAAAACTTTTCATAGATCTCCTGATTGGAATTACAAGCAGCGGGATCCTGAGTATCTGCCCAGCTAATCCAGCCATCAATCATACCCAGCTCCTCACCCTGATAGGTAACACTGGCACCGGGCAGAATCATGACTATCATATTCATGGCATCTAGATTGGACACGCCATAACGACTAGCCGATCTTCGCTGGTCGTGATTGCCAATTACCCAGTTGGCAGTGCGTCCCGCGGGCATATTCAGCAGCCAGTTGTCCACAGCTGTCTTAATGGAACTGGCCGAGACACCTTTCTTCGCCGGCTCCGTAATCAGATTGAAATTGAAGGGCAGATGTGCTCCCTCCACAGAGCGATTGCCATAGAACTGCATTGTATACGCTGGCGGAGCATAGGTCTCAATTAGTAGAACCCTTGTATCCCCGCCATAAATGCGTTGATGATCGTCCATCACTGTGCGCCACTGATATGTCATATCAATGGTTTCGGGGCGATTCTCAATAAGGTCCATCTTTAAATAGTTACGGTCATCCTTATCATCAGTCAGTCCGCTCACTTCCTCATCCGCATACTGGCCGTTCGCATCTGGCTCCACCTCGAACAACACTGGAAGCGCATCGCATCTGAATCCAGCGACTCCTTCATTCAGCCAATAGCGCAGCACACGTTTCATCTGAGCCACAACATCCGGATTGCGATAGTTTAGATCCGGCTGCTGCACAGCAAACTGATGCAGGTAGTACTGCTGACGTTCCTCATTCCATTGCCAGGCGCTGCCCCTGAACCCCTGGAGCCAATTGGATGGCGGCTCCCGTTTGCCAGTCTCCGCATTAACTTTACCATCGTGCCACATATAAAAGTCCTCGTAGCCCTTTTCCCGCCTCACGGACTTCTTGAACCATTCGTTCTCATCACTTGAATGATTGGGCACAAAGTCCAGAATAATTTTTAGACCCAATTCGTTGGCCTTCTTAATGAGCGCACGAAAATCATCCATTGTACCATACTCTGGCTGTATGTCGAAGAAGTCGGAGATGTCATAACCAAAGTCCACCATCGGAGACGTGAAAATAGGCGAGAGCCAAGCTGCTGTTACTCCCAAATCCTTGAGATACTCCAGCTTGCTGGTGATGCCATTTAGATCGCCAATACCATCGCCATCAGAGTCCATGAAGGAACGTGGATATATTTGATAAAACTGCGCATTTTGCCACCAATCCTTGGTGCCTGTTGTTGTTGTTGTTGTTGTGTCCTGGCATGCCTGGCCAAGGAGTGCCAGGCAGAACACTGGAATCAGCACTTGCAGGGATTGCATTTTAATTAATGGCTTGTGGTCGGTCATCACTCTGACTTTTATACAGCCAACCAGCTACGAGTTGACAGCTGGCCAGCTTAACTGGGCTTAAATGATAAGCGCCCTTCAAGTAGCTATGGAATTTGTCATGCACTCGAGGAGTTTACATTCATAGCTTCAAGTGCATACTTAAGATGTGTGCAACAAATAAGTCTGTAAGAAAACCGATTCTAAAATACCCTCAAAGAGACATGCGATGTTTCTAGAAGATTATCTTCATTACTTTAAAGTCTTAATCTTTTTTGGAATGCATCTTTAATTTCAAATCATTTACAATAGCATTTTGTTTTCCTCTTGAATTCTTCTACTGACGCCTGGTCGCTCTATGACAACTACAATATACTCATCGTCCATCGATATTAGTGCATAATAGCTTCCCTCACCTGCAATGCATTGCTAGCTTGGACAATTAAAAACTTATCGGAACCTATCTAATTTCCTACTTGTAGATAAGGTTGAAAATCTCACTTGAAAATCTAACTAGTTTAACTAGCTAATAAGGCTGAAAGCGAGCTCAAAAACTCTACCAAAAGGTGCCACCAAATATAAGTTACTTACTGAGGACATTTTTGTTTGATTAAATATGCTTGCCAGGAGTTCACTTGACGCCTGGGGAAGTCTTAGTTTTAAGCATGGAATAAAGCCCAATATTGTTGAAATCAGTTATTATTTTATTGATAGTTTTTTGTTCAATGCTTTGTAAGTTCAATTAAATATATATATACCACCCAACAACATTTAGCAGCTTTTAATGTACATTTATTTATATATATTATACGCAATATATTTTAAAGTATTTTCTCGAGACATTTAGTTATATATATGTATAAATATGGCTTGTATTTTCATATGCATTTTGGTTTTTAGTTTGTAGCTTAATTACATTTATTACACACCAAATAGTTAATACACATGCATTTTGCTAACAGTTAAACTCTTATAATTTGGCTAGACTTTTAATATTTGACTTAACATTGAATTAAATTTATTTGCGTGTTTTTTTCTTTATCACCTCTTCACATGACCTTAAGTTAAGCAATTTAAATTTGTTATAAGTGTTTTTAATTCTTGGTAGAAATGCTAAACTGTAGCACATTTAATATTAATAATAATAATGAATACGGAAAAAGAACGTACAGCTAGATTTTTTTAAGTGTATATACAACTCGCTTACAATTAAAATGTTGGCCTTTGACGCCTTGATATTCTGAACACTTAACAATTAAATCTACCATGTTGCTGGGCTCAAACAACACAATAAATGCAATTGTTAAGACGCCGCCAATGCCGCTACGTTGCAAGGGGGCTGCGGTAGCATGTAGCATGTAGCATGTAGCATATGCTGCATGCAACCCCTTTATAACATACTTAATCACACCAACAATAGACTGGAGTGCGCTGATGTCATTTATAAACTAGATGTTTACAACTTAACCTAACAGTTAGCAAGTACGAGATTAGTTTTTCTTTTTCTATTTTTTGGTTTCGGTTTAGAAAACACACATTTTTGAAATTATATCACATTTTTTTCTTTTTGGTAAACATTGCTGCGACTGCAACCGAACCACACACTCTAAAACTAGTTAAGCTTAAGGATAAAACATTTAAAAACCTTTCGCAATTTAATTTTATTAAATATGGCTGACAATTATTTTTGACATTTCGTTGGGGTTTATTGCAAGAATTGTTTGCAACACTTTTTTTTGTGTCGCCAAATTTCACAATATATATGTATATTTATATTCTCTAGATGGCGCAAAATGATTTAGCTAATCAGTACTGATTAAAAATACATATATGGAAACAATTCACATAAATGAATATGGTGCTAAATAAATATAATAATTCAGCCATATTACCTGTCTCTGACAAAACGATGAGTATTTCTTGTGTTAACAATTTCAATAACAATTAATTAACCTAAAACTGGTCACCTGTATTTGATTATTATTTGATCGCGCAATAGAATTATATTTAGTTGCAAATTTCTTTTAAAATGCTACTTACAAATTACAGAGATAACTAATTTATAACCAATTCAAAATATATATAAACGACAATGCAAGAGTTGGCAATCAAACCACACTTCAGACATAAATATGTATTTAAACATTTCTATCTAAAGATACATTTTGCTTACGTCAGCTTAAACTGGTATCGCAGCGCGTTTCTTGTTGCTTCCGTTGCCGATCGTTGCGGTGCTCCCGCTGTTGCTGCCAACACTTGCAACATCGCTGCCATTGTTGTTGCTGGTGCTACCCTCGGCGGCAGCCGGCGGTTGCGGTTGATCTGCCTCCAACTGGTTGGTCAAGTCAGGTTGCTGTTGTTGCTGGCGTTGCTGTTCCTTCAGCAGTTGCTGTTGCAGTTGCTGCGCGTTTAGCTATAAATTTGTTTGCAACACTGGAGCTCGTCTGCTGCTGCCGTTTATCGTCGCCGTGCCAACAACTTCCGCCGGGCACGCTGCAGCATCCGATACGTTGGCTGTGACTGCTGCCACTGGCGCTGTTGTTGTTGCTACTGCTACTGTTGCTGCTGTTGTTATTGTTGTTGTGCTTGCAGCAACTGGACTGCTCGCGTTGTGCTTGCTGGTCGGGGTGACGGCAACCGCTACAACAGCAGCTACAACATTTGCTTGGCAATGATGCTGCTGATTTATTTTATTATTATTTGCCACCACTTGCTCGTCGGTTGGCTCTGTGGCTGCTGTGGCCGTTGTTGCTGTTGTGTTATTTGGCACATACTGATCGGCATAGGGTATTTGATTGTACGCATTGCAGTCCAAGGATGCAAATATGCTAGATAATGCAATTGTCTGTGTGGCCATTTCGCACAATTTTTTCGCCTTTACCGAGTGCTCTGCAAAAAGAATCCCATGCATATTTTTGGCTAGTAAGTAAGGCTATTTCAACTTGCTTGCTAACTTGACTAGCTTATTGTTAAATATACTACAAGAAATAAGGGAAATAAACGTATTTTTATTTGGATCACCCACCTGTTTCCGTGGGCGTAATATGTTTCTGTAATTTCTCCTCCTGTGCACAGGTGGCGGCGGTAACAACTGCTGCTGCCATCATCGAAGAGGGGCCAGTGCCCGCAGTGCGATGCATATTGCCATAACGTGGCGGCATCATGCTTTGCCGCACATTACGCTCAGGACGCACAAGTATTATATACAGCTAAAAAAAAAAAACATAGAGATAGAGAGTGGGAAGGGGATAGTAAAGAAGGGTCAGAGCTACCTTGTAACAGTGACAACTTAAATTAGCCCCATACAAAAGCACAAGCCAAAAATTACTTGGTTCATTCATTAATCATACGCCCCGGTGTACGGTAGGTATTTATGGCTTTCTACGCCGCGACACGCCCACAAAGTGCTGGTGCCATTAGTAAATTTCTGGTATTTTGCGGCTGTACGGTAATTATTATCAAAGGCCACTGACACTGAGGCGACGGTCAGCAATTCCATGCCATTAAAATGTCAAAGCGCTGAACGGCGTGTTGACTACGATTATACGTTACGTTAGGCTCTTGCGTTGCGCTACGTAATGCGCTGCCATTTCCGCCCTGGCTACCATTTGCCGCCGTTTATTATTGTTTTACCTTCAACACAAACAAACAACGGAACACGGCACACAGGAAGCGGACCAGCCAAAGAAATATATTAAAGGCAAGGCAGTTGCTTTCTAGTCTTACCTCTGTGTGTGTATGTTTGTGTGTTTGTGTGTTTATGTGTGTGCCACGCCCCACCCAAACACCGTACCTGGGGGAGACTTAAAGGGATCTACTAGTTGTTACCTTAGTTCACTGATCCCTGCTTGCTTTGTATCTGGCTATTTGTTTGTCGCTCCTTTCGTAGTTGGCAAAACAGCAAATACTAAATTGCATTTTTATGGCCTGAGGTGTTTATGGCCATCAGGTGCGTGTGTGTGTGTGTGTATTTTTTTATTTGCCTGCCTCGGTGTGAGTGTGTATGTGTGTGGTTGCAAAGTGTGCATTATGCGACATTGGATAGCTATGCGGTCTTTTGCCTGTCAGCCTTCCCAGCAGCAAAATAGCTCCCATTCTGTGGTTTAATAATAACAACTCCGCTTAGCGTTTATCATTGCTGAGCACCAGAAGTATTTTATAATAACTAGTTGGAAATTGTTGCACACCACAGGAGCTCGCATTACATAGTTCTGCATAGTGGCATTATTAGGAGAATGTTTCGATCGTAACTTCTTGTCTACAGTTCGTACGTGTAAATAATAAATAATAATATACAAAGCAGTAGCTTACTTTTCATGCTGAATACAAAAGGCCTACCCAAAAAAATCGAATTCACTTAGGTACTGGGGAGAATTGTGAACTGCCTTAACTTCATCATCCATATTAATTTTGGACGTAGATTGGCTTCCAAGTCATTACTACATCTAATTTTAGCAACTGGATTTTTGTTAAAAATGCATGTACAAATTCGGAGCTGAAAAGTCCAAAGTTCTCGTCAAGTTTTGGCATCCTGAATGAGACTGCACTTAAATTGAGAACAAGTCACTTGGGAACTGTTATTCCACAGCCGCAGCACTGAACAGGATTTTTAAAGCGATAACTTCTTACATTGGTTTTGATAAGTTTAGAATGAACTTTGTTTTTGCACTTCTCATTAAAAGTTATTTGGGGTATTTTAAAAATTTTCACAGCCACAACTTCGTCAAATGTGAAACGATTTTCAAAAGCCACAGAAAAAATACGACATTTAAATTTCGTAAACCGATTTTTGCCTCCTAAAAAGTTATAAACTCTCAACTTAACTTATTTATACTTCTGGCTTCTGGGGAATTGCAGCCCTATCAGGTTTGCAACTCAAACTTGCATTCATGCTGCTCATATTGTTATTTATTGTCTTGTGCAAGCTTGCAGACATCCTTACGACATCGTTGTACTTTTTGGCAAACTTTAAGTTGACAACTTAATGCTACAATTTAAGCCTGCTCTGCCTGCGGGCTAAGCAAGTTGTAAATCTTGAAACTGTCCAAGTAGATTGTTGGTGAACTTTTATGTTCCCTGTGTGCAGACAACTCAAGTCAATGCACAAGCGCCATTACTAATCCCAACTCTTCCTCACTACCCATACCCTCGCACAGCCCAATTCTTGGCCCCATTGGAGACCAGTGGTATGCCCATAAATTGCTGCAGAAATTAAGCTTGACTTGCAGTTTGCCGCAACTTGATGGCTAATAATGAAGCGTTATTAAAAATGTTGTGGCAAAGACAGCAGCCGCAGGCGTGTGGTAAGGCCTACATAGAGGGAGAACGAGGAGGAGGTACATTGCACTTAGCTGACTCTACGCTAAAAGCTATTAAAGCACTAAGATGAGGCAAAGCATTAAATATTACAGATCAAATCGCAAGGTAATTGTAATCAGCGAAAGATCAGACCGCACATTGCATGACTCAATTATTAATATAGAAATAATGGCAATTAAGAGCAGTCCGTTTGGCAATCAATTCGCAAACTCTACAGACAAGTCATAAATTGTTAATCACCGGTTCGCTTACCTTGGGGGAGAAGAGGCAGGCAATCGTAACGCTGGCGGAGAGGCTTATGGTCACGGACATGCTCGTTATTCGCAGCGGAACGTGGTTGGCAGTCCCAAAATATAGGGGCACAAAGGCCAGCCAAATGACGCAGGTGGTGTACATGGTGAAGCCTGAAATGAAATCCAATTAAATGTGCCACCCATAAGTCCAAAGCTGATTACACCCTAATCATGTCTCATTCGAATCACAATTCATATTCATCCGCTAATGATTTAGTTGTTGTATCACTCAAATTGATATTTCTTACTAATCACACCACTCAATCTCGAGCTTCAACTTATTTAGTTAGTCGTCATCATTCAATTTCAAATTTCTTACTGTGCATCTTCAACAACAAACCACTCAAAATCTATTTGCATTTTAAAGCTTGAGTTTCAATGGGCATAAAGATTAAGTATTATTAGATACATACACGCTAAATAGTATTAATAGGCAACATTAACAAGTACATTAAAAATTAGTACTATAATTATGCCTGAGCTCACCGATATGCTTTGATTCATTAAATGCCTCCGGTATCTTGCGGGTGAGCACCGCATAAACGGTGCATACCACAATCAGGACAATGGGATAAGAGAACGCAATCATGTATGAGGCGTCTATGTATGAGTCGCACACCAGCAGATTATCCTCGCGTGTCGGATAATGATGCATGGCATGTGATGGGGCAATTACCATCCAAACACCATTAATGAGTATCTGCAATGAGAGCGCATCAGCCAAAAAAACAGTAAAATAAAAATAAAAAGAAAATCGCATACTTAATTAGAAAGAAAGAGAGCATTTTTGCTGAGCATTTTCGCTTACCTGCACGCTCACCAGGCACGTACAAATCACTAACTGTGATTTGGGGCTAATAAATGAGGGCCGCTTTGCGGATTGTTTGCCAGCTTTAAAGATGCGGGCAATGCGATTCGTTTTGGTCAGAAGTGCGGCATAAACAACCGTAAAACAGAAACCAACTCCAAAGCTGCAATCACATAAAATATAGTTCAAGTGCCAGATCTGAGGATAGAAATGTGCAACAAACACTTACCGCTGAATAGCGCAGACAATATTCGTTGGCTTAAGCACAAGGGCAAAGGTCACGCCATAGCACATAAAAATGCCAGCCAATAATATATAGCTCAGCTCACGCCCAGAAGCGCGCACAATTGGCGTCTCGTTGTGTCTTAAAGAAAAAATAAAAACAAAATGCCAATTAAATGAAATTGCACCATGTGCAACGACATCCAGCAACCAACTTTTTAATTGACACACACACAATGTGAAAACTTTGCATGGGAAGATCAAAAAAAACCACATCAAATACACACAAAATGGCAGTTAGGCTCACCTGACGAACACACCAACGACAAAGAGAGTTATCAATATGCCAGTTGCACTGAACGCCATTGCCCCAATGGCCCAAGCCGACTCGGGTCTCAGGTACACCTCTGGTATGGCCACGCAGTATTGCTTGTGGGCGTCGGGCAGTGTGCCCAGCTGGCAGACCAGACAGTGCGTCTCATCGTCCGGGTGGCGTATCTGCAAAAGAAAACAAAAAAAAAAATGACAAAAAATAGATACAAATACTGCGAGTCACTCAACGTATTATTGAAGGTAACAGACCGAATCTTTGCAGACACGCAACGAATTGTAATTTGGCGAAATAAATGATTGTTAAGATAAAGTAGTAATGGGTATATATCAAAAGTACACACAGCTAAGCATGCTGAACAAGCAAATGCTCATCGGAATGATGTACTGCAGATATAAATAATTTGTTGAACATGTTCGTACTATTAAAAAAAAAGAATGTTTAAAAGCTTGAAACACATTTAATGTTGAATTTAAAGTGTTTAATCAGATTCAAATTCGAAAGACTCAGGACAATTGAGTTGCTTCTCATTTCTGGCGTTCTAAACTTACTTGGGATACATCTTATATTATCTTCCTCCACAAATTTAGAGATTTGCCTACTTTTTCTTTTTACTTAATCTGTCTCTTTCCCTCTGCCTCCTTACCATTTTTACTTTCACAATTTACTAGCGCTGATCAACTTTTGATCTGATTGTGCTTTCTCTGGGTAAATCTTCGGACCATTTTATTTTTTAAAATTTATTTTCTGACTTTAAAAAATTGTACTGTGAACTTAGAGCACAGTTAAAGACCTAAACAAAAAAAGCCTTCAAGTCTTTTAGATATCACCACGGACAGGTAAAATTAAATGAAAAATAGATGCAGCTCGTCTTTCAATTTCATTGTATGCTCTTGTTTTTTCGCCTCTCAAAATCCTTAGCACAGATTTCTTTTTAATTTTCTTCTTTTTTTTTCTGCAGTCCGGCTGGAGTATGGCAACTTTTCATTCACTTTTCTACACTATATTACATTCCAATCAGGACAATTGTCTTGCAAATAAATTACGAAACTTGCGCCACCTCCTGCGGAAAGTCTCAGTTCCACTTGCACAAGTTAGTCGACCAGCTGAATGCACACTGCAATGCGTTTGAATTGCTGTTGTGCTAAGAGAGGAGAAGGAAATTGAAGGAATGTGATTTCACTTACTTGATAAGTTGTACAGTTGAAACAATGCCAACAGCAGCTCTCGCCCTCAACGTATCTCTTCGCCTGACCACGCTCACAGTCCAGACTGCAAACGGATTCCGGTGGTTTCGGATGCAACAGTTTGAACTTTACCTCTATCGTACATACCAATCAAACAAGCAAAGAAGGAAGCATATATTAATATTCATGTGAATGAATGTGGCAGTTACAGCTGTTGAGGAGCACCTGTAGAGTGGCTGTGAAATACATCTACTTACCGGACATGTTGAGGCGCAGCTCGCCTTCGTAGTACTCGCCCACCTTGACCCAGCGGTACTGACCCGCCACAGATTGCTTAAAGTGGATGATATTGTAGCGGGCGGGTCCGTCCCCATTGCCGTCGAAACGAAAATCATCGCCGCTGAGGCCTGCACAATGAAAGATGCTCGGAGTTAAATACGTTTACGGCCTGACGCGCAGAACCATGAAAAGGACCCAAGGCCCAAGACTCCATCCAGCGGCTGCTTATCAGAAAATTGACAATTTGCGCGTTTGGCATCAGTCTGCCTGTTTGCCTGTTGCCAATTGCCGATTGCGTGCTGGTCTGGCCTGTTCCTTCTTGTATAATTTATTGAATTTCAAATTGAGTTCAATGACGATGACAAGCAAGTCAATTTTCCACTCGAAAGCATGGCCAATGCGCATTGTGGGTACAGCAATGACTATGACTAGGACTAGGACTAGCAAGGGCAGGGGGCAGAGGGCCCTTCAACTTCCCTTCCCTTCCCGCTCCTTATTCATCTATTCGCAATGGATATAACCACTTAAATTATTTGTGCAACACTTGCGACACCGAAACAAAAAGCATAAAATCCGTATGCCAACTTGCAACCCATAAGACCTTAAATCAATATTTTAGCAGCCACTTGAATAATTCATTTTTAAATTCTTATAATCTACTAAAATTGTAGTTTATTTAGATTTCTATTTCCGTTCAGAACCATTAGTGCATGTCATAGTTTTTTGAATAACTTTTGGTGACCCAGATTTTGGGCAGGCACAAATTTCTTTGCATTTTGTATATGTACCAGAGACCTGGATGCTAAAATTAAAGGTTTACATTATTAAATACATGACTGATAAATTGATTGTTTTGTATTTTAATTGGAAGCTTTAATTCCTTTGCAGGTATTTTAACTCAATATCTTTCAATAAATGATTTAATTTTATTGAGTGAACAGCTCTGATGCTTTCCATTTGCCAACTAGCACACACTGAAGTGGGTGAAGAGTGTGATATCAATGTAATACCAGCTGATATCCTGTGACAAAGATCAGAGTGGGCTTGGCCACGAAAATGTCCTGATAATCTTGACTTGACCTAGTAATCTATCGATTTTCAATTAACGATTTTATCGATTACCTAACCTCATAATTAACGTAGCTCCCCCATTCGCAGAGCAAAGCAGGCACAGTCGAGTATATGTTTCAAGTTTCAAGTCTCTAGCTTTAAGCTTTAAACAAATACATCCAACAGATATTGCGCAAATCCAATATACTCTTTCACCTTCGGTATCAGAGTACACCAAGCACTGAAGTTGATGATTTTGCAACTTACCCTTAAATTCGACTTTACGTAAATACTTGAGTAAATCGGCTCCCTTCGTGGGCTTCATCGCATCACAGAGTGAAGGTCGACCGCCGCACAAATCGCGATGCATGTCCCTGTGAAGGTTTAAGCAATTAAAAATAAGTGTAATCGATTGCCTGTGGATTGTCTGAGCAGCTTACCTTAAGGCATATGCAAATGCCATTACCGCGTCACTAACGAACTGCAATTGATCCTCAAAATCGGTGTTCTGGCGAGACAGGCGCTCCTTTGTGGTACAGATGCGAGTATAGTTATTGTATGGTGTGCTTGTGCTGCCCGGGTAACGGCATTGAAAATGGTCTTCCCAGAATTCTGCAATGACAGTTCAGTCAGTAATCGCCTCAGGCGTGTCCAAAAGGGAGAATGTGCAAAAGCTAAAGTGCATCGCTTCACGTACCCACAAACCAGGGATTGCGCTGATTATTCTCCACGGTCAGGTTCAGAAAATATTCCTCGAAGCCTCGCACTGGATTTGCCTGCGGCTGCACGGACAATGTGCCCTCAACCTGCACAACACGGAGGAGGAGCGAGCATTATAGACAAACAGAGAGACAAATTAATATAAGGGCGCCAACGATGCGTATGCGTAATTAATTTGAGTTTAGCCATTTAATGCTTGGGGGTTGGGGTTGTTTTGGGGTTGCTAGGGTGCCAAATTAATTTGCCACAGCCTCGCCCAGTGTCAGGCATGCACAATTTATTTCAATTAAACCATAATTCATCATAGTAACCGCATTCCGTTGTTGTCTGTGTTGCGTTCATTTATAAATTTGTAGTTCTAGCTGTAGTTGGTCTCATTTTACTGCACACCCGACATCACTCATCTGTGGGCGTGACACATCAACAATTTTGCTCAACGATTCATTAATAATACCTTCTCGCACATTTACGCTTATGATTTATGAATCGCGGTTAGTTACAAATGGGGAAATGTAGTTTTTCTACTTGCCTCCGGTTCATAATCGTCCGAAACAAGATTCCGAGCGCTCCATCCATCCGACCCAATCCAGGAAAAGGCGCCTGTTGCATTTGAACGCCTCACTGCACGCATCACTTGACGCACTTCCTGATCCGAGCCAAATATTATGGCGCCTGGCAACGATCCGATTATTCATTTGTCCATTTTCAATTGGATTGAGAGCATCATATTAACAGGAAGAGAGAGTGAGGCGAAAATGCCGAATTTATTTGTGATTGCATAAAATATTAAATAAGCGAATTGGCATACAATCAACAATATCTCGCATATGACAATTTTCAATAATTCGTTCCATATTGCATTTCATTTCACTCTGACCTCTTTCAACAGCAATTTGATGATTGTATATTGCATTTTCACGGCGGCTACAAAAGGGCCAATCTCACTTGATTACTTAACTTTTGAATATTAAATGCAATCGTAGCTTTAAAACACCACAAGTATCTAGGCAATTTAAAATTGAACTATATATTAATTCAGTTTCAGACACAGTTTTATGTATACGTATAAATGAATTGTATTTGATTTATCGTCAATTCATCAGTTCGACTCGTTGAACTCGTAAAAAATGACTCTTTGAGCCCCAGCTTCATCCTCTACACACTCACAATGCTTTATTGCCAAAACTTTTTGACGTCTAACATGACAAACGGTAAAAAACGCAGAGTAAATAAAAATCTCCTATTCAAATCGTTTTATCAGCTAAAATTCAAATTCGCACAGTGGTACACAAAATTAAATAGGAATCCATTTAAATTGACTTTCAACCAAAAAATGTAAGAAGGGTATGATGAATAATATAAGAGACTCTTTGAGCTGATATTTATATGAAACATTTAATGTTATATTTAATTGTAAAATTGTTTTCTTTCGAAATTGTATGCGATTATTAATTAGATTTTTAAAAGGGTACTTTCTTGTCGAGCATTCGCGTCGTGCAAACTGCTACTTGAATTTTTTATTGCCTTCAGGTATTCGAAATGTACGTAAAAGTCGCATTGATTTGCAAATATTAATCAAATGCCAGTTACAGACTGCCAAGAAGAAATATATTAAAAATAATTACCATCCCCGGGTCTAACGTATATCATTAATCAGCGGGGGCGACGCTGCCAAAGAATGAACTCCAGATGGCGGTGCCGTCGTGTTAAATTGCCGGGGCCAATAACATTGGCATCTGGGCGCGCGCCGTCTGCTGATTTACATAAATACGCCATCAGTAGTCGTTAAAAAAAATTGACTGACTATACTATACGGTAGTAGAAGGCACCTTTATCAGACGAAAAAGGGTTGCCAGTGCAATCATTATTTATTGTGATTTGTGATTTGACGCCATTTACCAGCATTTTTCCATTCAATGGCCTCTGGCCTCCCTTTGCTTAGTCAGGTGATTAATCGAACTGACAAAGTATTTGCGCTGGAATTTTACATATGTGAGGGCTTCAAGTTCTGGTCTGCTTGAAAAATTATACATCAAAGTGTTAGAGTAACTGCAACTGCCAATTGCCAGCGTGGGTGAAGTTTGTCGTTTAATGTGCCCACTGGGTGTGACCCTATATGAAGGTTTTTCCCGTTGACATGTTTTTGCTTTTTACCGCACAATACAGTCAATTAATTTTGGCACTGAGTGCTTGAATTTTTTCGTTTCGCTCTGAATGAAAAGCATAGTGAATAATTTAAATACCAAATAAATACTCACGTGAACTCGAACGTCCAATTTAGAGTCTTTGTGTATATTTTAGCGATATTTATTCAGAAGATAACTGGTTCAATTTTGCATTAGACTAAATCCATAAATTTGGCTTTCATTATACTTTCCGAATAATGATTTAGACAATTTTAACATTGGTCGAAATGTTTTTCTTTGTCTTATACATACTTCCATATAAATCGAATCTCATCGTGGAACGACTTCAAGGCGATATTTCGGATTTTTTTATTTCCTCTCTCACTTTCTGCCTTCTTAGTTCTTGCAATAAATTTTGAACTACTTTACATCTGAGTACTCCAAGATTTATTATATGCTTTATTTCTTTTTTGCCTTCGTTCTAAAATTTGCATTTATTGACTTCTTATCTATTTCGTCTTGGAACTTGGACTTTCTTGCAGATGTAGCTAGAATTGGTGAATTACTATCTAACAGACTGAACAGCTCCTATCTCGAAGCTTTTAGCTGCCCAGTCACATAGAACAAAGAATTGGCTTGAGTGTAAATCAAATGGAAGCGCTCAAAGACGTCGTCAAGTTTTCTCTTTCTCTTTCGAATTCAGTATTCTGTATTCAGTATTCTGTGTGCAGCTGTTGCTGCTGCGCCTGATTAAGTTTCGCCCAACTTTCAGCTTGACACAAAAGCCAATCGATAAGTTTTTCATAGTAAGCAGAAACTGGAAGCTATGTCGTGGGCAAAGCCAAGAGCTTGCCAGGAAAAATGATGGCGCGAAACAAAAGCATCAATGCGAAATGGCAGAGAGTGGACTGAAAGTGAGAATGGGGACGGGGGAATGAGGATGATTAAAGCTACTGTTGCTGATAAGAAATGACAACTGCAGTCGGCCAAGTATACAAAGTGAAGGGAGACGTAGTTTGTTTGTCCATAACAATGAAAGTCATAACAATGAAAGTAACATCGTCAAGGGATTCAGCTGCTCAGGAGCTAGCACTGTCATGCGTCAATAAAATGGAGACTTCTTGCCCGTCATTAACAGCCCTCAAAGAATATGGCACAAACTCAAGACAAAGAGTGTTAAGTGGCTAGCTGGTCATCCAACAAGAATTTTTTGCTTGGTTTTTGCATTTTGAGAACAGGCTCTCGAAGTATCCTTCAATCGTTCTACAGCAACTCCTTCTGTCTTCTCTCGGTGTCTGTTTATTTAATGAATAAAGCATCAACAAAAACAAGAAAAACCTTTACATTTTTTTCACTGTATTCATTTTAAACGATTGTTTTTATCATGGCTATTTGCGGTTGTCATTGGCTCTCGATATTGTTTATATTGGCTGCTTAATTTACATTTTGTGTTCAAGTGCCGTTCTTGTGATTATCTTTATTGACTTATGCTGTTGAGGCTGAAGTGATTTTCATTATGGGTAGACGAGCGTATATTACTCTATTCGACTTAATAAATATCTTTATGTTATTCAACTTCATGCATGTCTGTTAATCTCAATTAAGTTGAATGCAAATTTAAGGAGACTTGTGAAGCAAGGTAAAAAAAGAACTTTTAATATACTCGTATATTAAAGACTCGATTTTAGTCAAAAAATTAAATTATTATTTTATACATATTCAAAAACATTTGGGCGATTTTTGATTTGCATACAGTGACAGTGAATAAGTTTATACACTGGTTGACTGTGCCAACCATTGGCAAGACAACGCCCAAGACAAATATTCTCCACTCTTTTCGCAAATTGCACGTAAATTATAAATTTATTCGCAGCACAGCGTCAAATGGAGTCTAGTAAATTTTACTCGGGCGCTTGACAGTTTGTTTTGCTATTTGTAAAGTCGCTGAACGTAACATTTTAATTTCCTGCGCTGGAAAATTGCGATCCAACGTTGTAAAATTGACTCGGCGAAACTGGACTCTTCGAAACTCGACTGAAGGGATTGCTTGACTATGAGATGTACTTTCCTCTAACTATAACAGGCATATCTTCATCTATAAGCATCTGTACACAAAATAATATTTTAATAATGTGACAATTTCCAACACTTGCATGCAAATTTCTTTGTATTTGGTTAACTTATATTCTACTACCAACTGTCTGAATTTGTACATTTTTATAATACCCCTTGTACACATTTGCAGCCTGTACTGGACAAAATAAAAAATGTTCTGGTGCAACGAAAAAATTCAGTTTTCAAGGAATTTTGGTGTGGACTTTTGATGGTTATCCGCTGACATTTCAATTAAAATTTTTTCTGTATAAACAACAATTATAATAAATTAATTTAAATGTTTATGGTGGAGTGGAGCTAGTGTCTGTAACAGACAGCCAGAGGCATTAAGTAAATAAAGAGTATTAAAACATTAAAAAAAAATAGTTTGCAAATAGCATTCACAAATCAAGTATCAAGTAGCGAACACAGCATTCTGTCCTAGCTGATCAGTCTCAAGTGGGCCACTCTGACTCGTTTCAGATTTTGTTTTTATGTGTCTCAGTTGCATCTATTGTGTTACATTTGCACTGAACTTACCTCGAGCACGCGGTTTCGTCAGCAACTTCTGCACAATATTATCATATGCAATATCCTCAGCCACTCCCGAATCCTTGACGAGCTTCTCTTTAATGGCTATACAAATGTTGTGACGTGCCAACAGCTCTTCTAGTTCCTCAAATGCCTGCACAAGGAAATGGAAAAATTATTTTAGTATAGGTTGCGGAAGTAGGAGAGCATTTCACACAGTCGTGCTACATCCGGCACATATGTGGTGTCCAACCCCGAAGTCCATAAATAAAAACATACAAAGCACACACAAAATGTCTCTTGACAAAAAATAAAGAAAACCCAGCGCGAATGGAAACCGTTGAATCGAAACTGTCTCCAAACACGCAATATACCTTAACACAAGTGTCGTGCTGATTTCGAAATCGCTTCAGATCTTAAACTCTTGCAATTTCAATTTCAATTCACAAAGAAATATAATTTTCAATCGTATTAAAGAATATAGACATAATATAGAGAAGATGAAAAAAAAACACAGCTTAAATTCTAAATATTGTAGTTTTTTTTTTTCAATAAATGTCTGTCTACGTTGTACTCACCTTGATGCCATAGTTGCTCTCCTCGTAAATAATCGAGACATAGGTCCAGCCCATACTCTTCACAATCTCAACCATGGCCTTAACCTGGTAGTGGTCCGAGGGGATTGTACGGGAGAAATATTCAAACCGCTGCTTGTTGCTCAACTCCGGACTTGTGGAGAAATATGAGACCTGCAAGCAAAACAGGAAAAACGAAGAGATGCACACGTAAAATTTCGAAGAAGACTTTTACAAAAGCGACATCCAAATTGTACAAGTAACAAGTGTCGGGTGTAACCGACTGCAGAATACTCTCTTGCTCTTGTTACACCAGCTGATCACAGTTGGCAAAGAACGTTCTTGTGGAAGTGAAAGTTTCAAGTTTAGTTTTCTGTAAATACGGGGCAAAGTGGCTTTCCCTGATGGGCATGTCCAAGAAATGTTCCTACCAATCTTAAGAGAAGTTTCCTAGTAATCAACATATCTAGTTTGGTAACTTTTCGATTATCGATTATATCAGTTTTCAAGACAAAAAGCTTTTAGTCTTTGGACAGACAAACAGACAGAAATACATCATGACTGACATTGACTGCTGAAACCAATATAGAGCATAACAAAAACTGCATTCGCGGCTAGCTAGCACAAAAAAAAAAGAAGAAAAGTAGCTTTGTATGCACTTTTTTACAGTCACAAAGTATTCTCGAGTGGGTTTCATGACAACTTAAAGTGACATCATTTAAAATGATTTATAAAGCTAGTTGTTACTCTTCACAAAATAGGTATTTGTTCAGGCGTATTTGCTTACGAAATTCTCGTCATTTCTCACAAAACTCATCGTATGTTTGAGAATGTATATTTTTAACAACACAAACAGAATGGGAATACATAATATTACTTGTAGGTATTCTTTAGATTTAACCGTAGATTTTCAATAAATCAATAAATTTAGTTTCTTTTTCTGCTACTCTTATTTTCAGTACATGTAATTTTTGCCCTTTTTATGCTCGACATCTGTTGACAACAAGATTTTCCATCCGTTCTGCGTCTTTCAGCTTTGCAACATGCTGTTTGCCTCACGTTGCACAGCTGTGCAGGCAACGAACTACAAATCCGTTGCCAATGCACTAAAATCGAAGTCAAAGTTCAAGACAAACAACCAGAAACCTTTGACAACCCATTCTATCGCCTGAAAGTTTTCCAATTGTGAGAAGAGAAACCCCAAAGTCATTAAAATCCAATTTAACACCTATACACATTAACGATGTTTGCGGTTGTAACACACTTGGGCGTTTTGTGGGGAGTGGCAATAAAAGTCAAAGCAAATTTCGTTCCGATTGCAGTTGAATATTTGAGGGCTGCTAAAATTCGCACACGGTATCCTTGGTGGGAGTGTGCTGAGTGCTCGGATGGGTTGCACCAAAGTTGCAGGCATTTAACTAACAACTTGATTTCTAATTAAGTATCATTATCATATCGAATGCGCTCTTGCCACTGTCCCCCACAACCTTCTCTGGCTCTGCCCTCGTTTGCGTGTCAACAGTTTTGCTCGACAAGTGTTTGCACAGTCTCCGAGGTAGATAATGAAATTCAAAGAATGCTCAGCAAACTGTCGCCGTTTCGCGTGAAGTTGTTCAAGCATTTCAAATTCCAATGTGGTCTACGCAAATAGCAATACTCTGGACTTTTTGTTGCTGTGGGCGTTGCGTTCATAGAAAACAAAATTAAAGCAGTTTAGTTTTGCTTTATTGACGAAGAATTTATATGCAAGCCTTCTTCAATGAATTCTTGTATAGATAGCAATTTGTTGCCTTTTGAAAAAGTCTTTAATCTATTTGTTTAATTAATTAGACTTTTTTAATCAGAGCAATATATAACATTGAATCATTTACAACAAATTGTGAATATTCATTCACAAGAAAAAAGTATATCTTCTTTCATTTATTTTATATCTTAGTGTAGCATAGCCAAATAGCCATCAACTAACACTAAAATGCATTTGATTTATAGCTGGTCGTGTTTTGGATGCTGCACTGAATGATTTCCTGGCTGTGTGTGCGTTTTATGGCATACTTGAAGCCTTACTTTGCCGCCAGCACGGTTGCGACATAATGGCCCATATTGACTTTTGGCCATTGCGCACGTAGTGGCAGCGCTGCGGCTGCTCAATTTTCCAACGCGACGTGACATTTTGGAGAATGAATCTCTATTCGGAGACAGGCACAGAAAGAGAAAGAAAACGAAAACTAGGCTGAAAGGGAAGCCGTCTAATAGATTTGATACTGTGCAGCAGCTGCACTTTGCCTAATTTCTTGTCCCTTATGGAGCCAACTAGTAATGTACCACGTGCCGCTCCTAAAACTAATTTCAACTTCTATATCACGCAATGATTTTTGTTCAATTTTTAATTACAGCCACAAAAACTTTTCATTACCACTGCCAAACCAACAAAATTGCAGATGGCGAACACACAGCTGCAAAAAGTTGGGACAACCGCGACAAACCGATAACCAGATTGGTTCCGCAGAAAAAAAAAATGTTTGCTTTGAGAAATGTTACGTATACTTCATGTACATAGACCCACCTGAGGTATCCGAAAAAGTCTCAGCAAATTGGCCACCTGTATGGATGTCACCGAAGAGGCAGCACCAACCACGCCAGAAATCACCTTCCGCACTTGCGTCTTGTTGCAATGGTATTCGGCATCGTCAATGTTACTAATCGAACCTGTAAAAATCAAACAATGGAAATCAATTAGAGTCAATTCGAAAAGTAGATAGAACTGCAGTATGTGATTATATTTAATTTATAAAAATATCTCTATATATATCGTTACGAATTATTCGAAAGTTTTTAACTTGTTTAAGCTTATACTAACCATAAATAATTAATACAACATAGTGAAAAGAGAATTATTAATTTAAGCTCAAACTGTGCTAACAGCGAATTGAACCCTAAGCAAATACGTATTCCGCCCTTATACCGTTTTTATATCTGGTTTTTTGTACTTTTAATTGCGTTTTATTACATTTTATTATGTTTATGTTAACTGCCCAAAAAAAAGGAAAAATCAATAAAAACGAATATTCTCCCGATTATTTTGTTTAATTTCCTGTTCAGTCTCCACTCGGAGCTGGCGCATACCCTATAACTAATTGATTAGTGTTTATTAAGGGTGTCCATAAAACATAATGTATCCTGCGCATCATTTGGTAATATAAAAATAGATTTGTATATAGATACAGATATAGATGTAGACATAGATATATATAGTCATACAGCTTTCTACTTTGCATTACTGCATTGCATTCCGGGCTTATAATTAACATTGAGTATTGTTTGGTTTCACCTCAGAATTCCCTTCACACATTCCGATTCTATTTTCTATAAAATTACAGTTGCACAGTGGTAATTATTGGCTGTGGTTTCACATTGCTTTGTGTGGTGAAAGATGTGACGTTCCTTTCTATCCCTCTGGACTAAGCTGCCAGCATCAGATTCAATTAAAGTAAACTCGAATCGATTCAATTCAGAGACGCCAGCACACAGATGGCAGATCATACAAATGTTTGGGTCGGCTATTGAGCTGGTTATTATTATGAGACTGCCACGCCTCCGTTATCAGTTATCACCCACTTTCCTCTGCCACCCCCCACACAAACGGCATCGGTACGGACCACATTTTGGGCAGCTTTACGTAAATACAAATTAATTAACTCTATCGGCAGGAAAGTTGCTCAACATTATGAAGCTGATGGCTTTGTTGTATTTACGTTAGTTGGTTGTTTATAGACACTGTGAGAGAGAGAGAGAGAGAGGGAGAGAGTTTTGGCACATAGTTTGCGGCATGCTTAATCCTGTCAATATAATTCAGTGACTTGGAAAATTATATTTTTCATACGTCAGTTGCGAATGAGCGAAGGCAGTGAGGGACGCTAGTCAA